CCCTCTAGCAGCAACTTCTTCTCAGCCATGATGGACGTTTTCCAAAAGTAAAGTGAAATCTAGTCTCTGCAGACACTTCCAGCTACCTGAGTGAACCATGTGACCTTCCAGCGCAGACTCTACAGACTGACCGAGTCCACAGCAGGTGTGTTTATTTTCGAGCAAAATCTTAAAGCCTGTTTACAGAGAATGTGCAATGCTCGCATATTCACAGGCTCTTCACTGCACACTATAAACCAGATGAACTTCGGCTTTGAAGATCTGTAAACAGGCTGTGGAAACTCCCCTGGCTTAGTTTTTTCTCCACCTGTGTTCCAGAAAGCCCCACCTCCTGTGCTGGAATTGGCTGAGGAAAGGCAAGCCTTTTTTGCCTATTAGGTGCATAAACAGAGAAGGCTGCAGTTACCAGAAACCAATATGAACTACTTATGAAAATAACTACAAAACAAACAAAGCATGAAATGTTCCATACACACACACACACACACACACACACACACACACACACACACATATATACACACCAAACAAAAAACTGAAAAAAGAAAGAAAAACTTATTTAGGGGATAGATGAAACAAATAGTCTATTCAGTCTTAGTATGAAGCAAATTTCTGCCAGCAAAATAATGTTACATCTAAGAGCAATTTTGCAAATTTTTTACAATCGTATTGTTAATGTTTAATTTCTTCTCTTTTAAATCTATTGTTTTAATCATGATTTTAATTCATATATATATATATATATATATATATATATATATATATATATATATAAATATATATATATAGTTTAAAAAGATGTGGAAATCTTTTTAAACTTTCATTTGAAGTATCTTTAATCTTACTTTCTCATTTATAAGAATCAGTGCGTATGAAAAGTGCTATATAAACAAACTTGCCTTGTCTAAATTTGTTAGATGTATTTGGAGGTAAAGCAAGCCTTCACCAAGACAATAAGCTTAATTACGGGGGGTCCTGCAGAGCTACCATTCAACTCCTCAGCTAGTTAGTAAGGCCTTCCCCTTGTAGAGTAATCAACAGGTTGCAAAGTTGTAGGTAAATGTTTTTTTAAAAAAGTTCGAATTTTTTTTAAATCCATTATCTCTTGATATTACAACACAAGGAATTTACTACAAGAAGTAAAAAACAACACAATTTGAGTTTGCATTACGGTTACAGTAATATTATTCAGCAGGTTTCTGTATGTTCTGTCAGGCTGCTCATAAAAGTGATGTGCAACTGCAAACTGCAAATAGACCAATAAACCAGCAACATCATTAACTTCGGTGGATAGGCCTATGTCATTCTGCTTGGTCAGGACATTTTTTCATATAAAATATGATATATATATATATATATATATATATATATATATATACACATGGAGAGAGAGAGAGAGAGACAGAGAGAGAGAGGGAGATCTCTCTCTCTCTCTCTCTACATTTCATTAGCTACGCTTATATATCGTTCAATATTGTCATAGTTTTATTACATTTTGTGTTATAAAAGTAAATTAAAATTGTCTTAAACTATTACTGTAATCTGAAAATAATCAATTAATTAATGTAATAATTTTATGGTCCAAATAATATTATACATCATCCTTTCTTGACGTGTTCACATTGAATCTGGTCTGTAAATACATGCCTTTTACACTGTGTCAAAAACCATTCTGTCCAAAATGACCTACCATGTTTGATCTTGGGTAAAAAGAATGACTGAGATTAAAAAATAGAACATACATGAACACTGCATTTCATATTTTCAGCATAAACAGGGGACCAATATTTAGAAATCAAACTGGAACATTTAAATAAACAGGTCTGTCTCTGCTAATACAGATTTAGACAGAGCAGTTAATACTTTTATGCACATTCTGCTGTGAATTTGACAAACTGGCCTTATAGCTGCAGATACATCGTTACAGAGCAATGACTATTCTGACTTGAACTGGTTCACAGACATAACAAACACCATCTCTTGCAGCTAGACACAATTTCATTAACTAGGTTCAGTCAACAAAGCTCAGTCAGGCCCAGAGCCTGGAATGTTTTCAAATCATCTTCACAGTCACTTTCACTCAGTTCCACAGCATCAAGGACAGTTCAGGGATCGGCAGATAAGCAAGTGCTTATCTCAATCGTAATACATCGTAAAGGAACAATTGGCCTCCAAGCACGGTGGTGATCAGAAAGTGAAAGAGACAGAGACATGACATGACACAAATGTTCTTAATAATTAATTTAACCCCTTAAATGGTCAGGGCCCAACAGCAGGCCTGAAGTTTTATTATACACTTCTATAACCTAAGATTAGCTCAGCTAGTTTGCACTGAAGTTCCTGTACTGAATAATTAATCTTAGTATGTAATTAGCCTGGAATTTTAAGGGGTTAAGTGAACACAGCAAGACTTTTTCCCAAGTAATTCTGGATAATTTCTCATGACATTTTCACACAATTCAGAGGGCAGCAGGCATTTTCACTGGTGTAAAAAAGAATAAAAAGAAAGGAAAAATTGACCTCTGTTGGTCCATTTTTGACAGATATTGTCTAGACATTTAACACATAAGGGCCGAAATAATAAGGATAATCTATAATTGACTTACTTCTAGATAGTAAAAATGACTATATTTCTAAACCATGCATGACAATGTTATAGCCTTAAAGGGGAACTCCACCAATTTTTCAAAATGATGGCATAATTAAATGGTCAAGATGTTAACAAACTCATTCAGTGGTTTGGTGTGAGATGCTCTGTTCTACAGAAACTTGCAAAGTCAGAATTGTTCACAGTGGTGGTGATAGGAACCAGACGTCCAACTCTAAAAGCTCCCTCACACAAAGTTATACATGAATGGTTATGAAACTGCTGCCTTTTGCCTCAGATATTGTTTTACTGTGTTTTCTCATGAAGTTTTAGCCTAAAACGTATTGTAATCAATTTATTTTAATCTATTCGTGGTGGAGGGGTACATGAAGGGGTTCTGAGGCAAAATGGTACCAAAACAAAACATATTTCTTCAGATTTTCCACTATTTTACCATCATCAACACCACAAATAAAAGCTCACAAGATACATGTAGGTACACTAGTGGTTTTGGATAGTAAATAAAATGGCCATATTTTTGTTGTAGTCACGGCAACCCCTGGTTCCTATCAGCACCACTGTAAAGAAATCTGAGTCTCGACAAACAACCACTTCATACCAAACCACTCTGAATGACTCAAACTAAATTATGTAGAATTTTTTACAAAACTGTGGAGTTCCCCTTAAACAACTCAAAGTGCAAAATGCTATGTTGTTGTCCTGACCATAGGGTGAAATGGATCCCCTTCCTTTAAGATAATTCCTACATACACTTATATGACATAACATTTTATGACATGGTCTCTCAGAAACTTGTAAGTGGCTCTTGCTTTATTTGATGCATGTCAGATGAAGACAATAAACTTCAAGTCAACCTGAAATCTTCAACACATTTTTACCTTGTTGGTTCATGTCTCTGGTCATATTAAGTGATATTCACCATAACATGCATTTAAATGACAAAACTCTTGTCTTCCTGTAATCTTCTGTTGCAAAAGTCAGAGACCATCATTGATTGATTTAATTTCCACTCAAAACAGCCTGTAAGTAAAAGTTATTAATTGATCTGGAGATTAGATATAAGATAATCCACTTGCATAAGGAAGGAGAAGGTCAACGAAAATCAAGCTGCTTCAGATTTGAAAAAATCCACAGGTGTTTCTGTCCATCCTTCCACTGTGAGAACATCACTGATTGTGTTTGGGATTACTTGGATGGTGAGAAGCAGAAAATGCTACACCAACTGAGAGGTGTGAGAAAATTTCCCTGCAGATTTCTTTGAAAAACCTCTGAAAAGAATGGAAACTGTAATAAAGGCAAACAGACGTCTCATGTTCTTCAGGGCAAAGTGAATGTTTATTGTGGATACAATAAAAAATGTGGCCTTATCAAGCCCAGGCAAAACCCTAATATATTCCCCAGTTTGGCCACTAGAGGTCATGAGAGGGCAGCAAGTTCGCTGTTTCATCAGTAGAATGGCACATGAAGTTTGTGATGACTGGAAAGGAATCTAGTCGTGGGTTAGTGTTTGCAGTTTCATTGCAGGGTCATAGCATTCTCAAGCCTAAATAAATAATGGTGGACAAACCTGTTTATGAGCCAAGCACTACTTTAAAATACTTAATATTTCAAAATTATAACGTTTGATATGCTGGGCTTTCGTTACAAACTACGTCATCATTTATACTTAACTGCTTCATAACTTTATTCTGCTAGCTGGCATGCTAAAGGCTACATAGCTAATGACAACAAAAAGAAAGGCTCTACGCCAAATTTATAGCCAGACAAAGCTATTTCACAAACAAATTTCATGTATATTTTGTACAAATTTCCACAAAAAAGAAGTGTTATGGTTGTTAGATTAGCCCATGGGTTAACCTGCTGAGCGTGAGTACATTTCGTCCGAAATATCCACTTCTTGCAGTCCCCTCCACCCCAGTGGCCACTTGTTCAATGTAGGTGTAACCAGAGATGTTATAAAGGCACTGGACACTGGTTGAAATAAAAATGGGAAATCTCATAATGCTGAACATGATGTGTTTGCAAAGAAATTCTCGCCTTTGAAGAAAATGAGCTAAGCTTGCTGGTTACACAGTGAGCAGGGAAAGCAGCCCCTCGTTGTGGAGATCTGTGCAAGCGAAATAGCCAGAACAACCAGAAAAACCAGGTTTTTGTGCATTACTTAGCCACATGCTGCAAAGTATTCATATATATATATATTTTTTTTTTTTTTGTCAGAATTACTCATTATTCCAAAAATGTTTTTGAAACATTTGACTTTCAGTTACAGGTAATTTGGTCTCTCCTCATTCAGAAAGACTGGACCTTGGTCTTGTATGGCTAGAAATAACTACCTGACGGGATGGTAAAGAAATACATAAAACAAAAACTGGAAGAAGAGAGTATTGTTACCATTTTAAAAGCAATATGGCTTAGGATTTGTGAATTCCAATGGCAGAAAGATGATCAGATAGTCTGGGTAAGCTGCCGCATCACAGAACACTATAAATGCGAACGGATCCATCAGATTATTTACAGCACAGTCATACAGACCAGCCTGGGGATTGTTCGGGTCCAGAGGGTCCGGCTCCTTCATTCCTGGTCGACCCAAACAGACGGCCCCGGTCACGACTCTGGCTCTGTAGACATACTTTAGTCCAAACTCATCTGGGGTTGAGTAATGGTCGTGGCAGGAGTACCAGGCTTCTTTGGCAAAGTAGGTGCCATGACCACAACTGGCACCTTAAAAAGTGGACAGAGTAAAGATCAGTACGACCAATAAATACTACATAAGACATTCATAAAGAAGACAAATCTGCAACGTACCATTTCTTCCAGAGAAGCTCCGATTGAAGCCATTCTTACTGATTTTCTGGCTGAATTCTTTAGTGGTGCCATGATAGAGAAAGCGTTCATTTATCTGGTTGGGGTATTTCTTGTCCGCTGTCTCCTTTAACACAGAGTACCTCTGCCATTGTTGCATATTCTGAATTCTCTGGATCTAAGAATCAAATTGTAGGCAAAGTAAAAAGACTGATATGCAGGATTATGATCAGATTATGCTCAACATTTTGAAACTTGCAAATATACCTTCACAACCTGCATTGCAGACACAGATTCGTGCCTACTGGAGCGTAGAAAGTCGTTCTCTATTTTTTTGTACTCTGTGGAATCTGGATGGAGAGTGATTATTTTCAGCTCCTTTCCATCCATTTTAGTCCATGTTGGTGGAGACTGAATGATGGCTGGAAAACAGCAATCAGTAGTTAGCAAATCACATGTAGATATATTTTGTCCATAATGTTTGTCTCTCCAAATCATCAGCTTATTATTGATTTACAACGTTTGGCTATCAGAGATGTTCGTAAGTTGATTCATGCGAGTCTGAGTCAAGTCTTGAGTCTTCAGTTGAGAATTTTAGTACAGTCTCATTACTAGCTGCAGTAAACAGGTTGGACATGGCTTCAGGTAACAAGCCTTTCATTCAGGTCCGGGCTGTTAGGCTATAGCCGCAAAGGATTTTCCAACAGCCTTGGATCCTTTCCTACGATTAAAATAAGAATCATATAATATATAATTCAACTGTCAGTCATTGGCTAAGAGTCAATGACTGACTCCCCATCAACATTCGCAGATGTTAGAGCTCAGGAGACTTCAGCGTAAACAGTAGTAAGAGCGCATTGCAGCAGTGAAAGTAAACCGAATGTTCTCCTTTGGTGTTTTACTTTTGTGGTGGCTTACAGTTCAACATTATAGACAAGGTGATGATATATACTAACATTAACTGAACTGTAATCAATTTCAAATTGTGCTGTAACATTACCACTAACATTAGCTTCTTATATAGGTAGCAGCACAAACGGTAGACAGGCTAATCTGTTCACCTGGTTGGGTTTAATGTTAGGCTAGCTAATGTTAACGTTTGCTTATGCTAGAAAAAACGAAACTGAAGTCGGCTTCTTACCTGAATTTTCCGTTCCACCTTAAATGGTGCAGCAGAATGCAGGTGCCTAAACACATAACTACTGCATCATTTAAAGTACAGGGAGATTCACTCGAAAGAGGCCCTGAATATTCTGCTGCAACTCCCATTATAATGAAGCAATCTTAACCAAAAAAATATGTTACATACCTTGACGTATGTGTAATTGATTGCATTACATGTAATGCTGAAAGTGATCTCTGTTTTCTGCCAGACACATTTCGACACAGTGCTCCATGTTCCTTAACGTTCCTTGCCTGAACAACGGCGCCTACCTCATCACTCCGATGCAGGGGCTCCATATACTGAAGAGCACATTGCCTTGTTTCGTTCAGATTGATTCGTCCTAACGAGAGTTATTACAGAATATTTGGGGCCTCTTTCGAGTGAATCTCCCTGTAGAACAACAATTTGAATAAGAAACTTTTCAGCTTAATTGTATTTTGGCATCAGTAGGCCAGACAAGCTAAATATCTTTCACTAGTATATGCGTTTTCCTTCTGGTTACAGGAGTCATATTTTTTTCAAGGCACAAAGTGTGTCAGAAAAAAAAAGCATCAAGAGAAACAGTAACATGAAAAGCTGATTACAGGAAAGGACTTCATGTTGAGTCACCATGGACTCATTAGTTATTTCCACTGTACTGTATATTTTAAGAGCTAAAACAGCACAGAATATTATATGACCATTAGAGTTCTGATGAGATTCTGGGTATCAGTTCACACAGATATATTTATTTATGGCCAAGTCGTTATTATACATGCAGTTTATTTCTGGTTAATGGTATTTCCCTTGTAAAGTAATTAATTAAAAGTTGTAGTAACACAGGGTAGAAGATGTTGGAGAGAAACTGAACACAAAAGCAGCTGAGAGAGGACAATATGAAAATACATCATTGAGAAGATGAATATTTAAATCCTTCATTTCGTCAAGCGTGTAGTTGGTTTCAGCATTGCTCCAAAAGTGTTTTGCTGCCATTATGCGGCAAAGCTGCTCACTCATTTCTGGTATTGCAGTTTGTTTTTGCACATTCGCAGACTGAGAAATCCGAAAGAAATCAGAGTAAGAGTCTACATACACTGAGAAATCTGATTACTGAGCTGAAATTCAACTCTCTTTAGTGGATTTCTTAATCAGATGTCTATCAGATGTTAATTAGATGTCTTTTCTCTGATCTAAGAAATCGGAGTATGCCGTTTACATGACCATTTGAATAAGTAGATAACTGCAGAAATACAATTATGATAATGCACGTAAATGGCTCTCAATGAAACATGCATATTAAAGTTCTGGTTATATGGGTGCACCAGCAGATACAGATATATTTGTTTTTGATCACCTGGTGACTATACATGAGGTAAATATATATATATATATACCTCATATATATATATATATATATATATATATATATATATATATATATATATATATATATATATATATATATATATTTTAATTTAAAAATAGATTTGATCTGGCAAATTGTTTTTCACAGTCTATAGTGGAGACGTTTGGAATCTAGAGGACAGGCTATGTGACCATGTGACATCAAATGGGCCATAGCCTCAGCCCCTGATGTTGGTATAGTCTAGTTACACACCTGCTTTCATTATAAACAATGAGTTTGAGGGACACAACTGAAGTGTGACATGCAGTAAATGTATTTTTTAAAGTAAAGAGCCAAAAAAACTTGAAACAACTGGCTAATCTGTAGTTCACATAGCACATATAGCAGCTAGCTAGCATAATAGCTAATCCAGTTGAAATTTTAGCATGATGTAAAGGAATGGGATTTGTCATTTGCTAAAATTAAGTTTAAATGACAAGTTAAATTAGATATTGTACTAGCCAGCATACTTACTATCCAAACTGCATTGTTTTGCATTGTGCTTTGCATTAACCATGAATGAATGCAGTAAGACACTCACACAAAATGTATTTCAAATAAACAAGATATCAACTTCATTTTCACAGAGTATCAATACCTACAATGGTTTTGCCATGTTAAAGCTCCATGGGCTATTATTTAAAATTAAGGTATTGCGATACAAATTCATGCCAAAAGGAATCAAACAGTAAAAAGCGCATTAGACAAATATTTTGGCTATTTTCATACATTTTCAAACATATCTGATAAATACATTTGCATTGTTTTGTATGGTACATTTCTATGTGTTATATTTCCCCAAATATTTAAAAATAAATGTAGTTTAAAAATATTTGGTTAACATAGCAGTATATTCTGAAATACATTTTAGTGTTTGGAACATATTTTGGCATGGATTACTTTGTCCATATATATTTTTTCCATATGGGAACTAAAAAACTGAAAAAAAATCTTTCATTCATTTACTGCATTTAGGTTGGTGACCTAACTGAATCAGTTTTTGTTCAGCTTTTTTTCTCAGACTGAAATTTCACACGTTTCGTCAACATACGACTTGAGTCTGAGTTGCTGGGTCCCCATCTCTGCTGTCTAACTTCTTATTAGTGTTTTTCTATGAAGACTGACTTAAATATATTTAAATTAGGGCTGGCATAAACAGCATTTTACAGGCTTCAAATACCATTGGCAGTACCCAAATACCCATTTTCAAAACCACCTTTAAAAACAATGTGTCATAATTAACCATAAATTTAAGGACGTTCATTACTACAGTTCAAAATATATTCAGTAGGCAGCAACAATGTATTCTTTGTCAGACCGAAGCCCAGCCGCTATATGTTCTGATGACAAAATCCGTGATTGTAGCCCTCTCATTCAAGTACAGCTTCGGGAGTCACTTGTATAGCATTTATGAGTATCTGCTGGAGCCTATCCCAGCAGTCTCAGAGTACAATGAATTAGATTTATTCACTGCTATTATGGTTCATTTTAGTTAGATTTTTTATTTATTTGATGAAGTTTTATTTGGCTAGCCTGTTTTTTTATGGAAAGCAGCTGTGAGGGAAACAACTTGGGCCAAAATGAGGCCAGTCAAATAACAAATGATTACTCCAGTATTCAAATGATTTGTGGTAGCCCTAATTTAAATAAAAGTAAACCATGACTGGCCATTAATCAGCATCTAAGTATTTGTAGTACCATCTACTTGTATTACCTGTGTCTGAGTCACCAATCAGGGTTCTCCTTATCCTGCAGGACTTTCCTCTGCTGTTTCTCCGTGTCAGCTTCTTGAAGTCCACAGTGTAAACCTCTCCCTCATCCTCATATGTAAAGCTCTGCTCTTTCTTGTGAAACTCCAGCTGGTAGCTAATGCTGGAGTCCAGTGGTACCCATTCCTCTCCTTCAGCCACCTCCCAGCACAGAGTCTCTCTCAATCTCTTCATCTCACTTTCCTGGGCTTCCCTCTCCTTGGCTGCCTGGATGAAACTTGAGATGTTCAAAACTGTATCCAGAACATCGTCCTTCTTCCCTGACACAGTTAGTCTGTCTGAGGAAGCCACAAGAATGTGCACTTGGTTGTTCTTGCTAAGGGTGATGATGGCCTCCTTATCAGCTTCTTGAAGGTTGGCCAGGTAACCAGACTGGACATCTCTGCTGGTGCATTCTTCAGAGATAAGGTCATCCAGGAGCTTCTTGACTTTGGCAAGGTCAGCAGGAGAGGTTCCATACACCTCCACAGTCGTTACAGGGAAAGTTACTGCAGCCAGTGCAGTAGTAAGGCTGCTCAGTGGCTGTTTGGCTAGCACTGTGTTAAACAAATCAAAGGTTGTGGACTGTTCAAAAGCAATATTTAAAATTTTTAGCTTCGATATCCTTAACTTTCTATTACGGGGGTCGGCAACATGCGGCTCCGGGGTCGCATGCAGCTCTTTAACTGTCCTATTGCGGCTCCACAGCAGCATTAGATTTTTAGATAAACATAAAATAATCCTCCCTTCAGTAAAATAAAGCTCTGCTGATCGTTATAACAGTTTTAACAATAAATGGTCTTAAACACTGGAGTTAACTACTAATTCACCCTTTAACCCTGAAGGTTGGCGCACAGACTGCTGGTCACCACAGCAACCCACAACACACTTAGCTAGTAGCTAACAAAAAGGTAAAGAGAAAGATTTAAGACAAATGGGCTAATCTGGAACAAGCAACTGTCAAACACTAAAAAGTTGCGAGGCTGAAGTCAGCTTCTCGTTCGCCAGCTTCTTGTTCGAATGTTTCCGTTCCACCTTAAATGGTGCAGCAGTTATATTCTGGAGCCTCAGGCACCATTTAAGGTGGAAAGGGAACATCTGAACAAGACATCTGAAGACATTTTACAAGAAACTGTTCTACTTTTGTGGAAAAGTTTCCTGCTGGAGATGAGAGAAAAGCAGCTATAGCTGAGCTAAAGCTTAAAGCAGAGCAAAGTAAGTCAGCGTTTGTGTTTGTATTATATTTTTTAGCCTATACTAGTACATTAGCACATACTGAGACATATTTACAGCCAAGATGGCAAAATGGACATAAAATGTTGTGGCTCCTAAGGTGGTTTGATTTTCGTTGAAAGGACAAAATGGCTTCTCTTAACATTTGGGTTGCCGACCCCTGTTCTATTAGGATTACTGTGATCTCTCACCTTGTGTCCTAAATTCATTTTTGACAGCTTCCAGACCACCTCTCTTCTGAATGAAGTCATAAATGAGTTTAGACATTTCTTTGTCTTTCAGATCTGCCTCTCTGATGCCACTCATGTCAAAAAACATCTTCAGTTCTGGATCCAGGTTATTCAGCTGAAATTGTAGGGAAACTGTAGATCAGAACAATTTCATATCGAAAGATCAAAGCTGGGTACATATTTAATTGTACTACTGTGGTACTCACATCAAAGCCTGTGTTCAGGTGCCAGAATGCAAAGCTTGAATGCCTGAAAAATACACAATACAATTCAGTGAATTGCTGTTAAGGTGCTCTGAGAATGACATAGAATGGAATTTAGGCTTCGTCCACATGTATCTGGATATTTTTAAAAATGTAGTTGTGTTTCTCCATTTTCCAAAAAAAAAATTCATCCACACCACTAATGCTTTCAACAATATATCCATCCACAGAAGAATGCAATAATGATTGCTATAATGCAATAATGACACAAAGAACTTGTAGGCCTTTGCTTGCAGGCCATCAGACCATAATTCAATATTCCACACAATTTCAAAATGTGATTTCTGCCAGCTTGAAAAGCAAAAGAAAACTAGCATTTGCTGTGGGTTTATTTTTCTAGCTTTTTGCTCCACTGGAATTATGGAGTTAGACTTTTTTTTTTTTTAAACTGACTTTGGTTAATAATCATCAAGTCACATATCTTTTGGATCATTTGGGTAGTTTTAATATTTGCAGTTGAGGCGACACTGCCGCACTAGGGTTTAATAAAAAAGGAAAAGCCAAATTCAATTATAAACGTCATCAACTCCCAAATAACCAAACACACAGAAATTTCCATTTTGACAGTAATATTTATATGGTTCTGCATATTTCAAACAGCTGTAGGAATGCACAAGTTAACGGCATGATGTCACCCTGTGTTTGCCGGAATTCATGTGCTTTATTTCCACTGTGCGTGCGCCATCGTTCAGCGTTACCATGGCAGCTTTAACAGAATTTAAAGGCTGTAAACAGTGGAAAAGCAACACATCTCACCTTTTTCGCCTTTGTCTCGCTCTAATAATGAAGAACTGAGAGCTGAACAGAGTTAATTATCTTTACAGCTAAGCTTGTTCTGCTTGTTAGTCTGTTTGTTGATGCACATGACGCATGCAATTCATTCACATGACGTTACCGAGTAGGATGTGCTCATGCAGGTCATTTCAGGACGCCGGTTCGTTCACATTAATGACAGATTTGAATCACCTAAACAAGCGTGAACCATCCTGTCAGAGAGATCGGATTTGAGCAAAAAATTCGGATTCGAGCAAAAAATTCGGATTCGAGCAATGAGGCTTGTAATGTGAACGTAGCTTGAAACACTGAAAACAGAGTTTTTAGTGACCGAAAACACTTTCCTCTTGTGGACAGATGAGGCCGAAATGCCGAAAAAACACTATGTTTTCAAAAAGCATCTGGATGTGTGTGGACGGGGCCTTTGTCTAACAATCACACTTGTACTGTAACTAGAGATAATGAACATATCTACCAATGTAACATTGTTTACTATTGTTATTGTGACACTCTCCACGTAAACAACTTATTCTTTAAAAAATAAAGAACACACTACTATTTAAAACTCCTCATTCTTGCTCTGTTATTAATCTTTATTCTATGATATTCAACATATATTTGACATTGGCAGCCATTATCCACTTTTTTTCCTTCAAAAGTTGTTAAAAGCAAATGAAAACACTTACTTCCCCACAAGCTGTGGGCACTGAACAAACAAATATGCTGCATATATGATAAACACAATTTCAAATAAAAACCTCCCTGGAACGGTCAAGGTAATCATGTTTATTGGTGATTTACTGTGTGACAGATTTAAACTGCAGAAAAATCATAAAAGGTTTATTTTCTTACAACAGAGTGCAAATACATTTTATACATCACACATAAAATTGCCATTTCATACAGATAAAGTAAGCGTACTCTACTCAAACAAACATTTAAATACATAAAATTACCTGTGTGTGCTGGGTGTGCCAACAACTTTTCCTAGGTTCTTCTTGTATTTCACGTCTTCACATACATTTTTTTGATATGCCACACTGGTCATCTTCCTGGAACACACTTTACAGACCACATCACAGAGTGAATGAGCCACGCTACACTAAATATAGGGTACACATTATTCACAGTATTCAAGAGGTTCTTTCAAAAAGTCATAAGAATGGGAACCAGAATCACACTAAGGTGTGTCTCTTTAAATGTAAGATGATGCTTTCCGTCTATTGCAATTGTCAATCAAGTTGGGCGATTTAAATGTCCAAATGCAGCTTTAAGATACACAAAAAGTACATATTTGTATCACAATCTTTTTTTTTTCTTATCTATGAAATAATTATTTTTTTTAATTTATAGTGTTACTCCTGTGCTACTCCTAATGCCCCCAGTTAGCCCTGATATGTGGTCTGGCTTCAAAAAAAGTACTTACAGTTGACCAGGGCAGTTCTAGCAGGTCAGAAGTTTCATAAACTGACTTGTGGCAAAGATGACATGACAGTGCCACATTTAAAGTCACTAAGGTCTTCAGTACAACCCACTCTGCAGATGTTTATGTATGGAGATTAAATAACTTCTTTGTATACATATATTAGCAAGATGTGGCTGATAATACTTGAATGCAATCATTAGGAGGGCTATCCACAAACTTTTGGCTACGCAGTGTACCTTAAATGACAATATCAGCAGAGACAGTGACTTATCTTGCAGAGACTAACATAATTATTATTCACTCTTTAGCATTAAACTCTTTGTCTACCATATGGTGGACGTTATCAGAAGATGCTGCCATTCACAGTGTTCTACATGATAACCCATAATTAATCCATACAGTTGGTTGCCAAGGTAAAGTGTTTGTACTTGCACAACAAAAGTTGCTGACACATCCAAGTTAGACCGATGGACGTGTAACCTTTCACACACACTCTAACCTTTTCACTAGTCATTGAAGACAAAACATTTATATATGTTTTCCTTGATAAAACAAGATCATTATTTTATCATCAGGCACACTGTGCATTACAGAACAAATGGCTGAACACTAAGAATCTCTGTTTTGACTTTGAAATCTTTGTTATGAACCTATTACTGAACTGGTGACCCTCCAATGACTAAAGAAATTGACAGGGTCCAGTGAAATTTGCCAGCACACAAACACTTCTTCAAATATGCAGCAGCGAGTGGCCCACTTCCTCTTTATGAATTTTTAAAAGCAGGAAATGAGACACCTGCCCCAGTAGTTTCTTCTGTTTTTGTCTGGTAATGTTTAAAACTTAAAAAAGTATATATACAATAGTAATTGTGGCATGTGCAAAAGTCTGGACACCCTTCCAGCTGTAAAGTCTCAGAACTGAATTAACTTGATAGGCCTTAATTGACTCATTAGGACCGGCAAGACAGTTCAAGAATTGTCCTAATAAGTTTGTCATAATAAGTTTTCTGGTTCAAACCTTGTGTCAACCCTCAACAAACCAAACAAATGCTAAAGATCTTAAAATGAAGCTACTGATGCGTACAACTTGTCTTTACTAGGTATAGATCTGCGGTTACACAGAAATGTACTGGGAAAGAAAATATATACATCAATCAAGTCCAAATAAAATATACAGGAGAACGCTAAAAACGCTGGATACATATATAGGCACTGTTATAGGATGCCGCCTCTGCCACAAGTCAGTTTGTGAAATTTCTGTGCTGCACGCAGTGGAAACATATTCAGTAGAGTGACAAATCACGCTTCTCTGTCTGGCAGTCTGATAGACGAGTCTGGGTGCCTTGAGAACATTACCTGCCTGACTGCACTGTGCCAACTGTAAAGTCTGGTGGAGGAGGGATAATGATATGGGGTTGTTTTTTCAGGGGTTGGTCTAGACCACTTAGTTCTAGTGAAGGGAAATCTTAATGCTTCAGCAAACCAAGACATTTGGGACAATTGTATGCTTCCAACTTTGTGGGAACAGTTTGGGGAAGGTACTTTTCTGTTCCAGCATTACTGAGCCCCTGTGCCCAAAGCAAGGTCCATAAAGACATGGCTGGGTGAGTTTGGTGTGGAAGAACTTGACTGGCCCACACAGAGCCCTGACCTCAACCCCTCTGAACACCTTTAGGGTGAAATAGAACGGAGATTGCGAGCCAGGCCTTCTTGTCCAACATCAGTGTCTGACCTCACAAATGCTCTTCTGGATGAATGAGAAAATTCCCCCAGACACTCTCCACTCTCCCTATATATATATATATATGTATAAATTGAAGCCCTACCAGCATTCAAAAGAAAGCATGAGTGAGATGAATGCCCATGATAACTTGACAAACCTTGATTTTCAGGCATCCTTCCACATGCTGACTGTGTCCTTTCAGCTGATTGCTTGAAAAAGGTAAACAAGAGAGAAAATACATTAATATATTTAACGAGCTAAACATACACTGTACCTGTACCTGGCTCACCAGGGAATCTCAAGGAATGGTGCTCTAACGTGAAGCGGGATGGTCGACCTAAACATGCTACTGAAGCACCTACAGAGTTTTATGCCAAAAGCTGGAAATACTCCTGACTGACCAAATCACCTGAACTTACTAAAGATAGGACTAAAGGAATCTATCAGGGAAGACTTGCAGAAGGTGGAGATGTCTATGGGTCACAGACTTCAGGGAGTCTCCGTGAGTTTCATTTAAGACTGTTAATTTGTCCAACTACGTATCTCCGGAAATACTGTCATTATCACTCTCATTTCACTTCCAGTGTGCTCAAGTACAGTGCTAAAACATATCACACCAGTGCAAAATACAGGGTGATTCAAAAAGATTCATCCTATTTCAAAATGATTTATTTCACTGGTAAATCATTATAGAACAATGCAGTAAATTGTAAATGGTTTAAATGAGCATAAAGTTTATTATGTAATTTCACAAGTGCTCAATATGAACCTCTTCCAGCTGTGCAGACAACATCAACGCCAAAGTCAAATTCATCCCATACTCGATTGAGCATGTGGGGTGTCGCTGCACTCACAGCTCTTTCCATGCGATTTCGGAGATCATGCAGTGTTGTGGAACCAATGACGAACGCTCTGATCTGTTGGAGGTTCACTGCCGACGAAAATTACGTTAAACATTTATGACAGATTCACTCTTATTGAAGTTGCGAACACAAAACGCTTTCTGCTCAGCGGTCTCCATCTCCTCGCAGACTGAAGCGAGCCATCTTCCGGTGATGGTCAGAAACTCTATGACCCCCTCTTTCAGTTAGTATGTGATTGGTTCCTAGGCGCCTCATTGTTGTAAAAAATATGGCACTTTGAAATTGGATTAATATTTTGAATCACCCTATTTTTCAATTAGGAGATTTGACCTTGTCTGTAGGTGGACACAACCTGCAAACCTGAAGAAAACATACCAGCTGTACAATGAGGGTGTTGATCTCCTCTACTGTCTTGAAGTCAGGATTTACCACAAATATGGTCTTCACATTCTTTGGGGAGTTTTGATAGTCATTGCTGAACTGTAGTATTGCTTCTCTGATTGCAATGCAGCTTTCCTTGATGGAAAAACCGAATGTTCCAACACCTAGTACAGGCATTGCAATAGAGGTGCCATTCCCATCTTCTGCTTTATGAAGACTGTGATATATGGCAGATTCCAGGTGGCGAGAGGCCTGATATTGGTTTCTTTTGGGCAATACAGCATATATCAGGGACTTGGTATGTAGCTTTCCTGGCTTACTAAGGAAAACATCCCCAGCAAGCAGAGCTTTCTTCTCCTTTTGAAGATTGTTGCACACCTCCTGAATTTGAGAACCTCCAACGTTAAGCAACTGCTGAGCAGCAGCGTTGTCAAAAGACAGGGATTTAGACATTGGGCAAATCAAGGCATCAGCAGTGTACTGATGCAGGTCACCCTCAGCTATTGTTAAAGTGATATACCTGCTTATTCTGTGAACAAATCTCCTTGTACGGCCAGACTTGCTAATTTGCCCTGGTGATAAGTACACCTTGCAATGCCATTCTTTACATCTGGCATTTACATTGACTTCATGTTTCTTAAGTACTTTGGCCTCACCAGCATTGGAATAAGTCAGCTTCTTTGTGACAATGGAGGACAACCGCTGCTTTACCATAATAATAGCATCTTGAATATATTCCTTTTTTCCTGTAACTTTGAGACAAGGACAGTTCTGTGCTCTGGAAGCTAGTACAGTTATGCCCATGTTCCTGACTTCGGGAACCTCTGACAAGTTCATACAAGACTCTACAAACTCCATTTCTCGCACAGATCTGAGAGGAATCATTTCAACACAGTCTGACACCATCGATTCATTATTAATGTTTCTGTCCACAGCTAAGTCCTTGGTTGCATTCTCCAAAAGTCTTCTGGACTTATCTAAGAGCATCCTGACCACGTCCTTTAAGCCAACTATTACAATTTTAGAGCTGGTTTCCTTGAAAGAGAGATCAGCCTCAACTGAGACAAGTGAGAGACAATCATTCATCACCCTTTTCCACACATCGACGTTTACTGGCAACTCGGCTACAGTGTACTTCGTCAGGAAGGCTTGGGCTTCTCTCTTTGCCTTGTGCTCCCAAGTCGGTCCAATTCGCAATGCAGCTAAAGATTCTTTGTTGACGGTCATCTCAAGCACTATCTTTCTAGGTGATGTGCTCTTGCCAAAAAAGACGTTTGCATGAACCATTTTGAGTCGGTTCTGAAAGTCCTTTTTGAATGGTTCATTTTTCCCAATGAAATTGAAAACTTCCTCATGAACAGGAACGGTGATGTTTGTAGGTATGCCAGACAAAGTTGTCATTTTTCCAATCAGAGCCTTCTGGAACCTTGAGTAGAACAGAGCAGTGGTAAAACCCGCACCCAAAAGATGATGTTTCTGTTGCACCACTTCATAGGCAGCTATAACAGAAAGTAAAGGCAAAACAATCACTGGTCATTGTCATAGACAACTGCTCCTGAAGTCTCTGTCAAAAAGAAAGTTCATTTTTTATAATGTCAATCATGGATATCAGATATGTATATGGTTTTATGCTTGTTCTCTGTTCTGGTGTGCTAATTTACAAACTTCAGAAACTAAAGCTATTTATGAACACAAGAACGATTGGTCACTTTTGCCCTGAATTTCTTTCAGCAGCAACACCAAAAAATTCATTAATTTGCTAAGGCTACGTTCACATTACCAGGTCAAAGTGGCACAAATTTTTTGCCCTAATGTGACTCAGATCTGATGTTTTCAGGGCTGTGTGGACATGCAAATCTAACATTTTCAAATCCGACCTGAGCCACTTTCATATGTGGTCCTAGATCGGATACGTATCTGATTCATGGCCATGCGACCTTAATGTGAACGCTCAGATCGGAATTCATGTGCTTTTTTCCACTGCGTGTGCGCCATCATTCAGCGTTACCATGGCAGCAGCGCCGAACAGAAGTTAAAGCCTGTAAACGGTGGAAAAGAAACACATCTCACCTTTTTTGCCTTTATCTCACTCTAATAATGAGCAGCTGAGAGCTGATCAGAGTTTATTATCTTCACAGCGAAGCTCGTTCTGCTCGTTAACTTGTTTGCTGATGATGCACATGACGCACGTCATTCAAGTGGCGTTACTGAGTAGGATGTGCGCACGCGGGTCATTTCAGGACGCTGGTTCATTCACATTAATGACAGATGTGAGTCACTTACCTAAATGAGTATGAACCATTCTGTCGGAGAGATCGGATTTGAGCAAAAAATCGGATTTGAGCAATGAGGCTTGTAATGTGAACGTAGCTTTAATGTGACACAAATTTGATGTTTTCAGAGATATGTGGACACAAAAATCTGATCTTTTCAAATCTTTTCATAGGCAGTCCTAGGTTAAATACATAGCCAGTTTGGGGCCATCCAACCTTAATGAGAACACTTAAATTGGAATTCATGTTTTTTCCACTGTGCAGGCTGTGTTAACAAGGCAGCAACCCCAAACCTGAAGTTAGGTGCCAGTAAACAGTGAAAAAGCATCTGATCCTTTTTCACGTACGTCTTGCTTGGACAACGCTTGTTAGTTTGTTTGCTGTTCATGGCACACTTGGTTCATTAGCACGTTATTGATTATTTATATTACTATTATCATTACTTATATTATTCATTAGGATGTGAGCATGCGAGTCATTTCAGGACACAGGTTTGTTCACATTAATGACAGATTCGAGCCACTTACGTTCATAAAAGTGAACCATCACAATTGAGTAATGAGGCCTGTAATGTGAACATACCCTAATAGGCATGTCACAATCATGAAATTTTAGCTGACGATTAATTGCCATATAAACAACTGTGACTAACAATGAGGGTGTTTTTATTATTTGTATGCAACTATTAAAGTACAAGCCTAAACTAGCCAAACTGGCTGATTAGCTAGCTTGCTTCCTAGCTGTCGATACTTAGCAGCTCCTAACTGACAACAAACACAGCTCGAACTCAAATGAACAAACATCACTCACTGCTGCTCTCTAAAGGGGTTACTGAGCCAAGTGAGAAGTTAGAACTTTTGACTTAGTGCAATAACACCCAAAGTATGTCTCAGAATATGTATTTCACTTTTATTTACAGGCATTTATATAATAATTGTGTCAAACTTAAGTGGTGTGAAAACATCAGAGAAATCGAGTGAAATAAACTCAATATAAAAGCCTCTAAATCCATTTGAACTAACAAGAACCAATTGTCATTTGATCTCCTTAGCTCTTCTTATCTTAACCGCCATAGCCTCTCTTTTCAGATTAACAGGTTGTTAACCACTTAGCATTATTCTACATAAAATATCTTGTTAAACCTCTGTTCATTGAAGACACAAAGAACAAAGACTTTAGGCCACTTCTAATAAATCTGTTCTAAATCTCAAATCTAGCTCGTTTTTTTTGTCAACAGGCTATTGAGGCCATATTCTTGTATCCAGAGAAATATAAAGTACTGGATCCAGAGAAATATAAAGGACTCTACTGCACCCACACAGAATATTAGGCCTATTATTTCATAATCTGAAGCAGTTACGTAATTTGCACGAACATAAGAAAAGCCTCACCATGATAATCCTTGAAGGTGATAACGGCACTCTTTTGTTTGTTGAGCCAGAGTAAAGATTTTATATCTCCTCCTCCACTTCTCATTTTGCTGCTGAAATGTCCAGTGAGGATGTCTTCTCTGATGGCGCTCATGTCCCCCTCGACCAGGACTGAATCGGTAAGCTCCAAATGGGAAACTCTAATGTCCATACCCTGCGGCTTTTTGGTGGTGCATTCACTCAAGAACTTTTTGATATCTAGAGACATTACAGTGACAGTCATAAAAAGAAATAAGAGTGAAGGAATAAAGACCACTGAAACCAACGCAGGTGTCCGCTTAAACGGCCTGCTAGTGGGCCCAGACTGTAATTCCTCACTGCTATAATTTGAGAATAATAAATTATAAAAGAGTAATTACTGGATCATAAGCCCTTGAAGAGGGGTTCTCAACCTTTTTCAGCCCAAGACCCACCTTTGTACAACTTTAATGCATAATGGCTCACAGTAAAACTAAAATCAACTTTTTAATACAGCTTCATTTTTCTTTTCTTACATGCTGACACTAAAAACCTGAAAATTAGGTCCTGAAAAAGATCAGATTGGCCATTCTGGTTGTCAGTACGTTTGCAAAATTTGAAAACAAAAAAACACATTGTTGTAGTGATGTTAAAAAGCATGAAAAAAGAAAAAACAGAATAGAAATGTACAAGGTAGATGTGTTTTGGAGCTGAAGTCCATTGCATTTTCACTGAAAATACTCCACTGGCTTTTCCAAAAGAGTACTTGTTGGGTCTTGAGATGTCTCTAGTTTGCGATTCATTTGAAATAAACACTCCACTCACTGGGCTTTTGGATTAGCATCATCACAACTAACATAATGATAAATTAATGATAAATCGTACTTGATATCTGCTTCTTTGTCATCGGTTTATCAGTTTGAGTTTAACCATTTAGGTCTCTGATGCTCGATCAAATATACACTCTATGATACATCAGCTGAAATCAAACGCATCTCTTCTCTACTACAGGTGGAGTGTTCACGTGTCAAAATGGAGTGAACTAAAGAAAAAGGTGTGATAAGTCCTCACCAAACAAAGTGCCCTGAGAAACCTCTCCATTTCTGGCTCGCTGTCTGTATCGAGTGCCCGCGGCTGCATTGTCTCAGACTGATGACGTTTAATTAGCCACTACTGCGATATTTTATTTGTACGTCTCTATCAATATTTATAATGGTTATACTGTAAAGATATTAAATTCTCCGAATTATTCCCTCCCTCTGAGTACAGGCCCGTGGACCACTAGAGGGTGCTTCACAGTCCACATGTTGAGAAACCCTGCCCTAGAATGGAATGTAACTGCCCTGGGAATGTAAGAAGTCAATGCAAAATGTGCCCTATGTTCAAACTCAGATTTCAGTTTAAACTCACCAATATCTTCCCTGAAGGTGACCACGATCCTGTCTTCATCCAGAAGCTCCCAGGTATGTTCTGCATTTTGGCTGCAGCTACTAATGAACAGTGTGACCAATTCGTATTTGCAGGTATCATTGAAACCGGTTAAGATGAAGCGACGGGGGTCCCACTTCTCTGCCATGCTTTCCTCTTTACACACATCCACTGATATCCCAAAGTCTTTGCCTTTCACTTCATTAACCTTCAATAAATCTGAGAAATAACACCAGATTGTTCATATTTTCACCATTCAGAAAGAAATGTTGCTTTTGTAAGTTTCATACGATCAAAGTTTGTATAAAACTTTCAGACCTTGCAAACATGTCAAAGAAACTATGACAATCACATACATTTACAATGTAACACTTTTGATGGTCACAGTAAGCTACAAGGTTTTAAAACTAACTGAATATCCATGTAGCCAACCTTAGTAAGGAACTAATGCGCAAACATACAAGATCACTTGTGCAGGACAAAAACAAAAAAATCTATTGAGTCTCACCTCTGTGACTTTTGGATGGTGACTTTTCATTCAGGATTAAATATGCAAAAGAAAAAGATACAAAACTGCATTGTGAAAATTACAATTTGGATGCAATTCACTTTTTGGTGACACTTTATTTTGAGTGGTCCTTTTAGATGAAACAAACACCCGATGGACTCTCAGTAACACGTCAAAAACATATGAGGGTTAGGATTAGGTTTTGGGTTGAGGTTAAGGATAGGGTCAGGATTAGGGCCAGGATTAGGGTTAGGTTTTGGGTAAGGTTTGGTAAGCTTAGGTTTTGCATAATGGAAGCAACATATTAACAACACATATACTAAATGTATGTATCAACAGAACATCTACAAGATATTTACTTCAATGTATTCAGATGCTTCACTACTGCTACTTCACTGATATGTTGCTGATGTGTTACTGATAATCTGTTAAGAGTTTATTAATCATCTACAAAGGACCACTCCAAATAAAGTGTTACCCACTTATATACAAACACATAAATAGATGCATAATTACTAAATGATTATAGACAAGTTTTACAATTTAATGCTTAGATAAAAAATTATTTCAAACTTGATCACAAATCACCTGTCCGACTTGCAGTGGTTTCCCACTGAGTGTCTTCAGCTTTGGTTTAGGCAATATAGGTGGTTTGTAGTTTGTAGCTTGAACACTGCCTTCCTTTAGCTGCTTTACTGTCAAATGAACTGTTCCTACACCTTTGAAATCAACTTGGCGGGTTATTTTTTTGCGAAACTGCTGTGAACCTGTGGATTGAATTAAAAACAGAGTGACAAAAATTCACCAACAGTTAAATCGGCATGACTTAAGCATGTCTTCATGGGTCAGTTTAGGATTTCAACTGCCCTAACTTCAATACACTATCAGACATGTACAACCCCTTTTCCAAAAAAGTTGGGACACAAAATGTAAATAAAAACAAAATGCAATGATGTGCAAATCATTTAAAGTCTATATTTAATTGAAAATAGTACAAAGACAACATATCAAATGTTGAAACTGAGAAATGTTATTGTTTTTTTGAAAAATATGTGCCCATTTAGAATTTGATGCCAGCAACACGTTCCAAAAAAGTTGGGATGGTGCAACAAAAGGCTGGTAAAATTGTGTAACACTAAAAAAGCACCTGGTAGTTGATTGACAATAGGTCAGTAACATGATTGGGTATAATAGAGCATCCCAGAGAGGCTGAGTCTTTCAGAAGTAAAGATGGGGAGGGTTCACCACTCTGTGAAAGACTGTACAATCAAATAGTGCAACAATTCAAGAATAATGTTTCTCAACATAAAATAGCAAAGAACTTTTGCTTTTCATCATCTACAGTACATAATATCATTAAAAGATTCAGAGAATCTAGAGAAATCTCAGTATGCAAGGGACAAGGCCAAAAACCAGTATTTGCTGGCCGTGATCTTTGGGCCCTCAGATGGTACTGCTTAAAAAACAGACATGATTCTTTAGTGGAAATCACTGCATGGGCTCAGGAAAAAAAACACTGTCTGTGAAAACAGTTCATCACTGCATCCACAAATGCAAGTTAAAACTCTAAAACGCGAAGAAGAAATCATATATAAACAGTATCGACAAACACTGCCACCTTCTCTGGGCCTGAGCTCATTTAAAATGGACTGAGGTGAAGTGGAAAAGTGTCCTGTGGTCTGACGAATCAACATTTCATCATGAAATTCTTTTTGGAAATCATGGACGCTGTGTCCTCCGGGCTAAAGACCACTCAGCTTGTTATCAGTACACAGTTCAAAAGCCAGTATTCATGATGGTATAGGGGTGCATTTGTGCACATGGTATGGGTGACATGCACATCTGTGAAGGCACCATTAATGCTGAACGATATATACATGTTTTGGCAACATATGCTGCCATCCAGATGACGTCTTTTTCAGGGAAGGCCCTGATATTTCAGCAAGACAATGTAAAACCACATTCTGCATGTATTACAACAGCCTGGCTCTGTATTAAAAGAGTCCAGGTGCTTAACTGGCCTGCCTGCAGTCCAGACCTGTCACCCACTGATAACATTTGGAGCATTATGAAATTAAAAATATGACAAAGGAGACCCTGAACTGATGAGCAGCTGAAATCCTATATCAAACAAGAATGGAAAAACATCTTACTTCAAAACTACAGCAATTGGTCTCCTCAGTTCCCAAACGCTTACGGAGTGCTGTTAAAAGAAGAGGTGATGAGACACAGTGGTAAACATGCACCTGTCCCAACTTTTTTGGCATGTGTTGCGGGCATCCAATTCAAAATGGGTTTAAATTTAAAATTTCGGTTTGAACGATTGATATGTTGTCTTTGTAGTATTTTAAAATAGTTTTTAAAAATAGTATTTTTAATCCTTTAAAATATGGTTTACATGATTTGCATATCAGTACATTCTATTTTTATTTACATTCTGCACAGCGTCCCAACTTTTTTGAAAATGGGGTTGTACACTGAACCTTTTAAGCTTAAAAACAGAAGAGCTACTGTTCCTCAGCTGACTGAGAATGTCAATGCAGGATGTAATAGGCAAGCAAGATCAGCCCATCTACAACAGGGGTGTCCAGTCTTATCAGCAAAGGATTGGTGTGGTTTCAGGTTTTCATTCCAACAAAGCAGGAGCACTTACCTTTGTGACTTTTGGAAGCAGGCTTTTCATCCAGGATTTTAGTGAAAAAGAAAAGAAAAACAAATGTTTGTAAGGTACGAAACTGGTCTTTGAAACACCTTGTGTAATCCTGAAGTAATAAGTTTATACAATTTAATGCCTATATAAACCTTAAAACCCTGGTTTCAAATATGAATAACTTTGACTGGCAGTGTAGTTGAATAGTTTAAAAAGGCACACTTGCTAAATACTGAGCTAATTAAAATCAAATAAATAAAAAATAAAGGCAAAAACAAATAAAAACAAATCACCTGTCTATCAGCAGCTTGCAGTGGTTTTCCAGTGAGTGTCTCCAGCTTTGGTTTAGGCAGTATAGGTGGTTTGGAGTTAGCTTGAACATTGCTGTCTCCCAGCAGCTTTACTGTTAACTGAACTGTCCCCACATCTTTAAAATCAACTTGGTGGGTTCTTTTGCTGAGCACCTGCTGTGAACCTGCAGAGGGAAATGAAAAGACAGTGACAAAACCACTGTTTGTTTTCTTCTCTCTCCTGTGCTGGTCAGCTGAAACAGTTGAAACAGTGGCAGCAGATCAACAGTGAATAACACAAACACTGAAGCTGCGTTCTATACTCTTATTAACTTCTGTACTTTATAGCACTAACTGATTTAATGAATATCTTTAGTGTAAAGCACATAAATAACTCAATATCTTTCCATAATAAACATTTTCACCTCTGGTTTTTAAAATTGTTAGTGTAAACACAAGTGTTTTTTGAGATCTGTGGCTTACAGCTGTTTCATCTCAAAGTGATGAATACTTAAGCAGCTTATGTGCTAGTATTGCCCCTACTGGAGAAACTCAGACTGCTAGACAAGAGTTCCAAAGCCAAATCAATGTGCTTTATGTATTAAAATTGAGTGTTTTCCATCATTATAGGAGGATAGATCAGGGGTTGGCATCGTGCATCTCCAAGAAGCCGGAGAACGAGACTTCAGCCTTGTAAAAAGTCGAACGTTGAGAGACGTTACAGTAAATTATTCAATTTTTGCTGAAAGGTTTCCTGCCCAAGATGCGAGAAAAGCGGCTATAGCTGAGCTACAGCTTAAAGCAGAGCAAATTAATTTTTTTAACCTATACTAGTACATTACCATATACTGAGATATATTTACAGCCACAATTGTTGTGGCTCCCAAAGTGGTTCGATTTTTGTTGAAAGGACAAAATGGCTCTTCTTAACATTTGGGTTGCCGACCCCTGGGATAGATGCACCGGAATTCAGCTTTAGATGCTTTTGGGAAACCATAAAGTTATATATTTTCAAATAGCGTTTTTGGAATGTGTTGCGGGCATCCAATTCAAAATGGGTTTAAATTTAAAATTTCGGTTTGAACGATTGATATGTTGTCTTTGTAGTATTTTAAAATAGTTTTTTAAATCCTTTAAAAATATGGTTTACATGATTTGCATATCAGTACATTCTATTTTTATTTACATTCTGCACAGCGCCCAACTTTTTTGAAAATGGGGTTGTATATTGAAACTTTTAAGCTTAAAAACAGAAGAGCTACTGTTCCTCAGCTGACTGAGAATGTCAATGCAGGATGTAATAGGCAAGCAAGATCAGCCCATCTACAACAGGGGTGTCCAGTCTTATCAGCAAAGGATTGGTGTGGTTTCAGGTTTTCATTCCAACAAAGCAGGAGCACTTACCTTTGTGACTTTTGGAAGCAGGCTTTTCATCCAGGATTTTAGTGAAAAAGAAAAGAAAAACAAATGTTTGTAAGGTACGAAACTGGTCTTTGAAACACCTCATGTAATCCTGAAGTAATAAGTTTATACAATTTAATGCTTATATAAACCTTAAAACCCTGGTTTCAAATATGAATAACTTTGACTGGCAGTGTAGTTGAATAGTTTAAAAAGGCACACTTGCTAAATACTGAGCTAATTAAAATCAAATAAATAAAAAATAAAGGCAAAAACAAATAAAAACAAATCACCTGTCTATCAGCAGCTTGCAGTGGTTTTCCAGTGAGTGTCTTCAGCTTTGGTTTAGGCAATATAGGCGGTTTGGAGTTAGCTTGAACATTGCTGTCTCCCAGCAGCTTTACTGTTAACTGAACTGCCCCCACATCTTTAAAATCAACTTGGTGGGTTCTTTTGCTGAGCACCTGCTGTGAACCTGCAGAGGGAAATGAAAAGACAGTGACAAAACCACTGTTTGTTTTCTTCTCTCTCCTGTGCTGGTCAGCTGAAACAGTTGAAACAGTGGCAGCAGATCAACAGTGAATAACACAAACACTGAAGCTGCGTTCTATACTCTTATTAACTTCTGTACTTTATAGCACTAACTGATTTAATGAATATCTTTAGTGTAAACCACATAAATAACTCAATATCTTTCCATAATAAATATTTTTCACCTCTGGTTTTTAAAATTGTTAGTGTAAACACAAGTGTTTTTTGAGATCTGTGGCTTACAGCTGTTTCATCTCAAAGTGATGAATACTTAAGCAGCTTATGTGCTAATATTGCCCCTACTGGAGAAACTCAGACTGCTAGACAAGAGTTCCAAAGCCAAATCAATGTGCTTTATGTATTAAAATTGAGTGTTTTCCATCATTATAGGAGGATAGATCAGGGGTTGGCATCGTGCATCTCCAAGAAGCTGGAGAACGAGACTTCAGCCTTGTAAAAAGTCGAACGTTGAGAGACGTTACAGTAAATTATTCAATTTTTGCTGAAAGGTTTCCTGCCCAAGATGCGAGAAAAGCGGCTATAGCTGAGCTACAGCTTAAAGCAGAGCAAATTAAGTCTGCGTTATCGTTATTTTTTTAACCTATATTAGTACATTACTATATACTGAGATATATTTACAGCCACAATTGTTGTGGCTCCCAAGGTGGTTTGATATTTGTTGAAAGGACAAAATGGCTCTTCTTAACATTTGGGTTGCCGACCCCTGGGATAGATGCTCCGGAATTCAGCTTTAGATGCCTTTGGGACACCATAAAGTTATATATTTTCAAATAGCTTTAAAAAGCAGCTTTACTGTTAACTGAACTGTTCCTGCACATTTGAAATCAATTTTGTGTGTTTTTCTTTTTTATTGAGCACCTGCTGTGAACCTGTAGAGGGAAATAAAAAGACAGTGACAAAAATATTACCAAATTTAGATAAATGAGGCCTGAGCTCACTTAAGTATGCAAGATGATCAGTCAGACATTCAATATGATCAGAGACCTGTCATTTTCAAATTGTACCCTATTAAACCCACCTTGTTTTTTAATACATATTGCCCTGATATACAGTAATAAGTCTACAGGTAAAAAGAAAGACTAATCTCTCATTTGTAGCTTTATTGTGTGCTTATCTTAAACTTCTCCTACATTATGGATGCCCAATCCAGATCCTGGAGATCTACCACCCTGCAAAGTTTAGCTCCACCCCTACTCAGGGCCTGAATTTCAGTGTGGAATTGCGGGTATTGCTCATAATTTCATTGATTCCCCCAAATCTAACACTTACAATGCGGGAAATTCCCACAGACATTTACAGAGATGTTCAGCCAACGTTTGCACCAGTGTGGAATGTGGGACGACTGGCCAAACGGACCAACTTCCGCTCTAGACATCACATTTGACACACACTCTCCCCCTCTTTCTACGAGCCTACGAGCACCCTCTGCTGCTGCAGCACCTCTTGCTAATATTTACAGACAGGTTTCAATGATGCGGATTTGACGGCATGCAAACATGGACCGCTGGCTTAAACGTAAATCTGAAGTGGAACCCGCTCAGAAAAAAACACCAGAACCTGAAAGAGCTAGCGCAAACAGCGGTGCTAGAGATGTCAAATTTAACAATATTAACAATATTAATCCTCAGTCATGTAACAGTAATGTTAACAAAGTGAAGCAGCAGCACAGAGACAAGTTTCAGTCTAACTGGCTCAGAATATATCCGTGACTCGAACTTAACAACGGTGAAATGAGCTGCTCGATTTGTAAAATATACGGTGCTGCACCTTTTATCAGCCGATGTTACAAAACGTCAACTTTAAGGCGCCACTCAGATGGCATTTCTCATACTGCAGCCTTGAAAAGAAAGCGTGAGGCAGATCCAGCAAAGAATGTGATGGCTAATGTTACTGAAGTTGCGCAGTTGCAGTGTGAGGAGGAAACTAAACGAAGGGGCTTATTTTATAGCAGGAAATGAATTAGCTAATTCAAAATTTGGTCTTCTGGTTAAATGCATTAGAGATGGAGTGTCATTCTTTTAAAAAGAACGGGACAAGGTAAGACCCATAGTTAAGCTCACAAGTAGTATCCCCCCAAAGTGTATAAATCCCCCCCATGTGAAACATTTAAGGGGGGAATCCCCCTTCACTTTGAAAAATGAACTTCAGGCCCTGCCACTCCAACACTGAAGGCCATCAGGGGCATCTGAGCATTAGAGCCAGGAGTGTTGGAGCTGAACTGTGAAGGGTGGTGGATCTCCAGGACCAGGATTGGGCACCCCTGTTCTACATGTCAGTTTTGTATCTCTAGTCTGATTAAGTTCAGAAGGAACTCAGTTCTCCAAGTTAAAAGGTCTCCCATGACGCCTCATAACTGCATTATTTCTCGAGAGTTTAACCAAGACGTTTTTTAAACACAAAAGGAGTGCAAAAATTCATCCTGGAGGGCACATCATGGTACCAGTTAAAGTGAAAAGCAGGAACTGAGTAGGTGTTTACTTGCCTGTACAAGCTAGGGCTTAAAAAAACACATGACTCACTGGAAAGCTGGCATCCAACAACAGCTCATTAATTCTTTGTCATATCCGTCATGGTGTTCATGGCAAAATCACGCTGGAAATGGGAGAGGAGGCTGTGGCATTATGAAGACTGGGTTGGTGGGTGTGGTCATTGGGCTTGGGCAGTATCTATTTTTTCATACCTTTATACCTTCCTGACATTTCAACAGGGTATACGGTACATGATAGTATTTGTGTTTAAAATAAATAAATAAATTTTAAAAAGCTGAGCTGCTGGTAATAGAAGTCACTTATAACATTTTTTGCCATCTGTTCTAAATCGAAAAAAGTAGTTTGCTTTACATGCTTACGAAATAAGAGAACACAGTGCACGATTAATTGAAATGACTAAATTAACTGAGCTTTGGTTCAATAAAGTTTGTTGTTGGTGCAATATTCAAATTGTAAACGCTGTACCATTTAAGGTGGAACAGGAAAATTCAAAGAAGCCGATTCCAGGTTTGTTCGTTTTCTGTTCTCTACTGCCACAATCTCTGAAGGTGCTCCAGAACAGCGCACTCATTTAGAGGAGAGCACAAAGTCGGATGACTGGTGTTGGAGTGAAAGTTGGGATGTGTTCTGTGGTGTGTGTACAGAGAATGTGCGGTTCTGATGCGTGTAGTTTTTTGCCATGGCTGAGCTGCTATCATGCTTAGTTCTTCTGAGGTTTTTCTTGGCTCTGATTTCCGTCCTTTTTCTGTTAGCACTGTCTAACCATTCAGATGTGGAACAGAAATTTGACACGTCATAACTTGGAAATGCTGTCATCATTTTTAAATATCATCAAAATTGTTACATTCCATGGTAAACCTCATTACCGTTTCTGGTGGACAGCAAGGCACTACTTCACTCTGATGTAGAAATGGGAAGAAAATCCCAACAGCCTGTTGAATCTCATGCCTTTTTCGAAAGGAAAATACGCCAAAAGAGCAAAGACACACTTCACAATTTCTCAAATGGAATATACAGTGACAAGCAGCGTATATTTGAACTGAAAAATGCAGGTCTACTTGGTTTCCTTTGAAGGATCTCAGTATTTCTGACAGATTTTAAATATATTTTGGTGCTGAGGTGAGGAACCCTGGGGCAAGAAGGAAGTCTAAAAGCATAAATAAATAAAATTCATAATGAAACTTTTTTAAAATAAAGATTTGTTATTACAGTGTACATAGTACAAGACTGTGTATGTTTCAGTTAATATGTTAATAACACTAGGACTTTTTATTTACAGGCTTAAAGGTCTGACTCGATATTTAGGTCTCAAAAGCAAAATCAACATTATACTGATGAAAATATGACAACAATAGTAGAAAATACACGCCGTTCACTAAGTTTTGCCTGAGTTATTTTCGAATACTCTTTCAACGCACTCGCAAAAGTCAGATTCATCCACTTGAGGGATCATCCAAAGCACAACTGACGTCACAACTTGCTCTTTGCATGGTACCTGCAATTACACATTTCCACCAGAGAGGTCTCCCAATCCCCAAACCCTACATTGCGTTGCTTTAATGTATGTTTTTATGGTTTATTTGAGCACAAATTATGTATTTTTTCCCTTTACAATACTATATAACTATTTATTTTCACATAAATATATTGTTATTGTTGGAACAAAACCTTTATTGACAGAATTTGAAATTTGTTTTTTACCCCTCTCCTGTAAAATGAACTTTTTGGAGATATGCGTAATCATTTTGTTCTGACAGTGACAATAAATATAAAACAGATCTGCCTGGGCCTCTTTTCATACAACCTACTGATGAGTCTGAAAGCTCATAAAGTTTCCTACCGCTCTAACATCCACTGATTAAAAACACTCTGGCCTGGCAAGTGGTCTTCTGTGAAGGAGAGCACAATAGCTAGTTAGTCACTGCCAGTTCATGTGTGTTTTGGATCAGTGGTGTCTGGACGAGCATCCATAGCAACAGGAAGCCAGTGAGGGACGGACAGTGAGACAAACCTTTTCTAAACACAAAGGAAAACCGACAAAGTCAAGGAAAATGAAAAGGTAAATAACAAGATTTGGTCAGCAAACTAGGCATGATCAATAACGACCATTTTTAAATAAAATGACTGTAAATATATTACATTATATTGTCAATAATTCAAAGTGCAGCTTTGTTTAACTAGTTCTAAATTTAAGTAAGTAAATTAAGTACTTACTCAGTAATTATACTGATGTAACAGATTCATGTGGAACCAATGTACACATGTAAATGAAGTACTTTTAAAAAAAACCTTTACAGAGTAAGTACACCTCACTACAGCTCCACCCATGGCTCAACTTAAAAAATGGGAGGGGCATGCTGGGAGGGGTCCTGCAGTGATCTACAGGTTTGGAGGTGCTGCTGTGTTTTACAGTAAACGTTAGCTACCAGAAAATATGGAGAGTGACACAATCAAATGGCACTTTTGCAACCGAGAGGTCTTACGAGGTTGGCGATTTTCCTCTACTACCATCCCCATCTTTGACGAGGGAAGGTGTTTCTGATCAGGCAGTGTGTCTTGAGCCTTAACAGTATGAGCCACTGACTCAAGCTGCCAAAGAGTTAACGTAGTGCCGGAAAATGATTAACAGCGAGCGGCAGAGGCGTCCAAACGGTAGAACATTCCCTAATCAGAGGGCGGTAACATTGTTTGACTGATTTGCATACTGTGACGTGTCATCATACTTTGGTACGCGCCTATAGCAGAGTTGAACCAGGGGGCGCTGCAGAGGCGGAACTGACCATGATAAAAATGACATTTTTACGGTTTGGAAAGATGTATTTACATTTTAAGCAAGGCTGGCATATTTTATTATTACAGAAAAATGCATATCAGCTATTAATGAAAAGGGTGTAGTTACTCTTTAAGCAACCCAGGGGGCTCCGCACGTCGACGGCCGAACGAACCAATAGTGGAATGCTATAATTTTTTTTTATATACTACACTTTGCTTAAAATGTATATTTGGATATATGTAGTTATAATGTGGAAACAGATATGCTCTACCTAATTAGTTAAAGCTGCGGTCCATAAAAAGTATTTTTAAAACCAATTAAGTATTCAGATCTTAGATATTTACAAGGTTTATGTTATGATCTATTTAAACCCAAGGAATTAATTGCAATAGCAATAAGCTAAATATATACAAAATCATCCGTTGTAGGGTATTTTCTATTGGTATGTGTCTGTCCCAACCCCAGCATTCGAAATGGTTTTAAAATCCACAATATACGCACACCTATGACCACAACAACTGAATTGTGTATTACTGCACCACAGCATGAAAAAACCCTTGTGCTGTTAATGGAATAATCTTTGACTCTAATGCTGATTGAATGAACCACCAAGTACATTGATGAGGTAAGAACCTGTTTTTTTTTTTGTTTAAACTGACAACTTATGTTCTTAACTAGAACCAGACTGGTCAGCTAGCTAACAGGCTAAAAGAGCTAACAGCCTAAACAACTCCATCATTAATATCACAGGCTTGAATTAAAGTACTGTAAAACGGCAGTGTAAAAGTCTAAAAATGCCACTCGAATGGATTACGCGCTTCAAATGACAGTGTTTCAGTCAGAAGTATCGTCAAACCCAGGTTACATCCCAAACGACTCCGTACTCCCTAAATAGTGTACTAGCTATGAAATTTTAGAGATTCTAGCCTTTACAGCCAAATAGTGCATCATATATCGGGTATGGATGTTGCAGAGTCCCAAATGACTATTCATTAGATATATTTTGCACCATTGGGCTGCAGGATCCAGTATTTAAATTCCTACGTAGTGCACTATGTAGGGAGCAGGGAGCTGTTTGAGATTCAGCCCAGTGTGAGAAGAGGGCGCCGCTGGATTGGTGCTAAATAAGACTCATGGTGGTAATCTGGTAACCAAAAAGTACATATAAAGCGAAAGCTTTGCATTAAACAGTGCTGTGTTATCATATGTTCATTGTTATATGACAAAAAGTTTAAAAATAATAATGAAATGACCACAATATACAGCGATGGGCGACTGAACGTTCTCCTCATTCAGCCGTCCATGGTTGCTTGGCAACGACACGTCATCTAAAGGAACTACATTTCTTGGCGGAATACTTGTTTACGTCGATTATTATTCATAATAACTTGAATTTAAACTTAAATTATTTTTTGAAAAATTGTATTTCATTATATTTTATGTTGGCCGCCGTTTTATAAAAGCAATAAGCCACTTAAGGCCGTGCGTTACTGCGATTTTATCACGGGGAAGGGAGTTTTAGGATAAATGTCCCATGTGATTTCTGAGGGGTAGCACGGTGCCTAACCTACGTTTTCTTCTCAGTTTCATTTTCTGTGAAGTCACTGGAACTTTACACACACACACACACACACACACACACAATCTGAAATAAACTTAATTTATCTTCCATTTATAGAAGCTGAGTGTCAGCCAACAACTTTAAGATGTCACAGCTCTCACTTGGTGACACTGTGCCCTGTGTAGATATCACAGCGCTCTGATAAGCAATGAGAGGTAAAATATGCCTCAATATGTGCCTCATTCTCAGGAAGGAAACGGGCGTCTCCTCCACGGATGAATTCACCAAACATACTGACTTACTTCACTGCTCCTAATCCCTCCATACTGGCTTTTAAAGACATAAGCAGACTGGGAGACTGAGTAGTTTGGTAGTGTGTGCTCGTGTCTCACCTCCTCCACTCAGGTAAACGAGCAGAGCTTTCCGTTCGTCCTCTGGATGCTGCTGTATCCGCGCTGCCTCTCCTCCAGACCTCCTCTTATTCTGGAAATATAAGGCCAACGTTGTTCTGACGCTGTCCAGGTCGTGTGGAAGACCCTCAAGCACTAAAGTTTTCTCACTCATGATGTTTGTTTTTACTTTTACCTAATCAAATCTGAGCCCAGCTCTTCACCGGTACTCATTTTCGCGGGGAAAACTGTGAGTGATTCTGCGTTAGATCTCGCGAGAGCACCGAGCACCTCAACTACAGATCGGGAGAAGCCAGAACAGCAGCCGTTCTCTTCACAGCTGCGTCTGAGGAGTTTAATCAAACTCCCTTCCTGCCCGCTTTCATTGATTTTGCCTGATCTGGCAGCCATGTGGATCCACATGCTGGTCATCCCTGCCAGTATAGTTAGTCAGACCATGAGCTACAGATCAGAGAATGAGGCACATGAGGGCACATTGCACCTCTCATTTCTTATCAGTGTGAGTATAATTAATAAGGATATGAATCAATGTTGTTTTATATATTTAATATGAGTTCATTTTTAAGAATTAATAAGAATAAACATTTAAGAATGATTTTTTAAAGAATTAATGCTATTAATGAGGCGTATTAACTCATTCATGACCAACTTTAATTTCTGTCTTTATGCTTATTTGAGCATGAATGATGTATTTTCCCCATGCTTTACTATTTAACTATTTATTTTCACATAAATATATTGTTACTGTTGGAACAAAACCTTGTATATCCATTTTTGTCATTTTTCAGGCATCAGGATAAATGTGTGATATAAATTATTAGTACGACAAAAGAAGAATGCCACAGAACTGGTTCTCATTTGCTAAAAATTATGAAAAAAAAAAGAGTATAGTCAAATTTGGATTTGGAATAACACACATTTTCTAAGTCACTTATCCTCCTGGGTTGCAGGGGGTGCTGGAGCCTTTCCCAGTGGTCAATGGGTGGCAGGCAGGAAACATCCTGGACAGGTCACCAGTCCATCATAGGGCAGACACACAGATATATACATTTACACACAGGGGCAATTTTAGCATCTCCAATTGGCCTGACTGCATGTCTTTGGACTGTGGAGAAAACCCATGCCATGCAAACCCCACAAACCCCCTTCTTGCAGTGAGGCAAAAATTAAAACCTTGTAGTCCCGTGACCGAAAAAGAAATGTAATAGGAAAGTGTGATAAAAAAACAATATCTAAAGAGCTCAGGCTAAAAAACAAACAAACATGATGAATGGACCAATAAAAACACTCTAAAATGACTTAGAATAAAATATTTTTATGCTGCCTCACAAGTCCAGCAAAGTGGCCATTTTGGAGAAAATGTTTTTTGTTTGTGTTTTTTGTCTTCATGAGTTGTACAGGACAGATCTGAGGTCATCATCTGCAGCTAACATTTACATTAATACTCACATACATACTTACATACTTACATTAAGAAACCTTAAGAGTGTTTAGATGATTTAATACTTAGCATTAAAAAGACACCAATGTTGGCATTGTTTTTAAACGTATTTATTTCTTTTTGGAAGTTATTTAAAAAGTAGCCCTTTTGCTGAGTATCACAAAGAGTAAGAAAACAACAGAACATGTTTGTGTCACTGTTTGATAAGGCACTGAGAGTATAGATCAGAGCGGACCATGATTTCAACCTGTTTTTTTCACCCGATGTTTTGCTTTCAACACGTACTGCATTGTAAATTGTAAGTAAAATGAATTATCGCTTAAGTAGTCAACATATTGACCTTAACTACTATGAGTTCCTGAGATATACGCATTTCATGATTTCCAGTGATGAGTTAGGACTGAAGCTGATTGTTACAAGAGCGAGTACTGTAAAGCTGCCTAGTTAAATACTCTTGAAGGTAATCAGATAGTCAGGGTAAGCCCCCGCATCACAGAACACCACAAAGATGAATGGATTCTTCAGATTATCCACTGCACAGTCGTACAGACCAGCCCGGGGGTCATTGGGGTCCAGAGGGTCCGGCTCCTTCATTCCTTGTCGGCTTTTACATGGCCTCCCAGTCACGACTCTGGCTCTGTAGATGTACTTCAATCCGTTCTCATCTGGGTTTGAGTACTGATCCTGGCAGGAGTACCAGGCTTCTTTGGCAAAGTAGGTGCCATCACCATGAACAACAGCTGAAAAAGAAGGCAGAGCAAGATTCAGTAGAAGGTAAGAATAAAACATTCTGTGGTCGAGGTTTATTGGTCTATTTTTTATATTACAAATATCTTCGTTCTACAGAGCACTAATTATATACTATGCAGATGGGTTTAGCATAGAACAAAAACATGTTTATTTTTAAACAAAAGTTTGCAAAGTAGTACTCATCTTAGAAAACAGGTAAACTATAAACAGTACAAAAATAGAATGCACTCACATTTCTCGTTTTAATCAGTGACAACGAGTGTGTTTACATGCACTCAATAATCTGAACATTATCGGATTTCTGCAGATATATTATCACTTAAATGGTCATGTAAACAGCACACTCCAATCTGTTAGATCGGAGTAAGATCTAGAAATTCGATTAAGAAATAAAACAGCTGGATTTTAGCTCAGTAATCAGATTTCTCAGTGCATGTAAACTCTTACTCTGATTTCTTTCAAAATTTCTCAGACAGACGGCAATACCGGAAATAAGCAAGCAGTGTTGCCGCAAGATCACAGCAAAACACTTTTGGAGTGACGCTGAAATCAACTACATGCTTGACTAAGTGAAGGACTTAAATATTCTTCATCTTCTAGATGATGTATGTTCATATTTTCAGGTAAATTGGCGCAATGTTTTTTAAAAAAAAAGTTTTACATTAAGTTTACGTCACGTCTTATTTGAGTTTATTGGCCGGTTGCAAAGCAGAAATCTGATTACTTCAGACTCATGTAGATCAAGAGTTTTCCATTATCTGATTACCCAAGTGAACGTAAACATGTTGATCGGTTTACTGACAAAATCTGATTTTCAGCAGTTATCAGATTATTAGGTGCATGTAAATGCACTCAATGATTTCCGTGAAAGATGGCAAGTGAGAGGCCCTAAGATAAGAAAGTGAGACCGGCAGTACTATTTTGAACCTCCATACTGTTTCCGATGTTTATTTCTGCGATTCTTTGATACCGTAATTTGTCAGTTCTCAGACTTTTTTAGTCTAAGACCCCTTGTAGTGGACAGTCAGAGCCACAGTGCTGTTCCCTCTCACCCCAATCATTATTTTACTTGATAGCTGAACACATGTTTAAAGAAATTGTCATTTTTGATTGCTTTCTCCACAGCTATCGCTGACCCGCATACACAAGAGATGTGGCACTGCTTTATAACATTACCGATGTTAAACAGTACCAGGTTTTAATAACATTTAATAACGTATACCATTATTTTTTTAGCAGATTTAATAAGCAGACAAAATTAAAAATGACAAAGTAGAGATTTTCTGTGACCCCCTAAAGAACTTCGCCTTCAAGTTTGGGAACTGCTGCTGTACTAAAATCGCTGTACCTGTAGTAGTAGAAAAGGGTAATATGGCAAAATACCTAGATACCTAAATACAACACCTAGAAATTCTGTCAGAAGTGGAATTCTAAACTTTCAGTCAATGCCAAGCCTTTGTTTTTGGGACAGAGAAACATCATTGTGTAGTAGAGTGAGAGCAACAGTGTCTGTACGTTCTAAGCAATGAGTGTATATATAACATACACTATATTGCCAAAAGTATGTGGGCACCAGAGAGAGTAGCCTGGACCAAGTGAAAGTACTCCTTTTGTTAATTCGCTGCTATCAATTAATCCACAGTTGAGCACTGTCCAGTAGTGCTAGTCTGCCAAAGGTACCACTTTCAAAGCCATTTAAAAGCTGTATTTGAACGAGAGGGCCACAGTCACAGATTCCATCACAGCATGCCGTTAATTTGCTTCAGCCTGCACTACTACGGTTAGTTTCAAGGGTCAAACTATGCAACTACAAATACACAGTGTAGAGTAATAAAAGTGTTAGCCTAACTCTTGATTACATTATCTCAATTTTACTAAAAAGCAGTAATATAAAATCTGTGTTTCTAAATATAAAAACAAAATCAGGAATTCTTATTATGATGTTGTTAATACCATACATTCCAAATACCAATTGAAATTGTATTAATTTCCAGTATTTGTAGATACTGGGTAGTACATTTCACTAAGCATAAGCTGGATTTGTTTGGTCTTGTTTTCAATAAAAGAATGTTTTTAGAGAAAAATGACATTTTAAGGTGCTCTTTTTTATTTTTTGGTGCTATAGTATGATTGCCCATTGTTACCATATGGCAACAATTTACCAAATACCCCACTTGAAAAAAAAATATTTTTTATCAAATATTTGCATTATGTTAGCAAATTTAAATAACAAAAACACATTTAAACATTTTTATCATGTGCAAGTAATAATTCATGCAATAGAGGGTTAAATAGGACCAGTTACACTCTTTTGGAATTAGGGCACCCTCAGCATTTGAACTGCCTACAGAGCCAACTTTAGACAGCTACACCACTGGACTACACAATCTTGTCTAAATCAGTTTTTAATGAAACATGCAGTTGGACGGATGTTCTTTAGCTGCTTTAGTGCTGACGATATCCATAATATTAGCAAAAAACCTTATCAAGACATGATTTAACATGACAACGACATTACCATCATGTGAACTACCCCTATTCAGTAACATGCAGAAAATATTGGTCATTCCATTTAGAAAAAAAAGGCAATTTGTGACATACCATTTCTCCCACAGAAGCTCCGATTGAAGCCATTTTTATTGATTTTCTGGCAGATGTCTTTAGTGGTGCCATGATAGAGAAAGCGCTCATTTGCCTGGTTGGGGTATTTCTTGTCCACTGCCTGCTTCAACACAGAGTATCTCTGCCACTGTCGCTGACTCTGAATTCTGTGGATCTGAAGATCAGTTCAGTTATGAGCAACATAAAGACTAAACTGTGACCCTTATTCATAAAGTTGCATAAAAAAAGCAGATTTTAACACCTTTTAATGACATATGAACTACTCTGCAACTGATTCGTGAAATTTTCGTCCAATGTGACAACAAGCAGACATTTGAGCGCAAAGATGATTAAAAATTAGCTTAAGTGCGTGAAATCAAGCGTCAGCCCACTCATTTACATTTACAAATCATTTATATGATGCATGACCTAATCCATGCAGATGTTTAGGTAGGGGGCCAATGAAACATCACTATTCAGTGGCTCATGAGTCAATGGCCACGTTCGTAAGCAGACTGTGAGGTGGAATAGTGACTGCATTGTGTTAAATAATGTATTGCTGTATTACTGCAGTGTATAAGATGCTTATTTGTTTATTGTGTATTTTGTAGGCAGAGTCAGTAGCAAAAGTGCAATATATCTTTAAATGTAACATGAAATAGTAGCAGCATTTGTTTATACCAATGTGCCTATCAAATAAGTACATCCACTGGTGTACTGGACTGCCATGCCCACAAATGAATTGATTAGAACTACTATTATTTTCTATGTTTACTCTTATTATTGTTACTACAGATAATAGTTTAGTTTAGTTAACCACAAATCAAGCATTTTTTCAGGCTGTTAAACCATCACACTCAAATTTACACACTCCTAGCAAACTCTGAGAGTTTGATATGCTGAGTTGCAGACACAACAACAAAACAACAAAACTGTCAGAGAAATTTGTGTGCGGTCATTTTACAATCAGACCTGATCATAAGCAACTTTGATGAATAAGATCCAACATGCGCAAGAGGCATAACATGGTGAGAAATTTGACAGACTTGTCCGTATACCTCCACAACCTGCACAGGAGCCACATCTTTGTGTTTACTGGAGCGTACAAAGTCGTCTTCTATTTTCTTGTACTCCACTGAATTTGGAAGCAGAGCAATTATTTCAAGGTCCTTTCCATCCATTTTGGTCCATGTTGGTGGAGGATTAATGACAGCTGAAAAACAAGAATTCATAGAACTTTTATATTGTATAGTTCAACCAGCAGTTGTTCACCCGGAGGTCTGACTGCATCTAGGCCTAGGACTGTCACGATCAAGAAACTCTATCTGACAATTAATTGATTAATTGATTAAGATTAATTTGATTAAGGTTTAAAGAAGATTAAGATTGCGTAATTAAGATGATTAATGATATGTGTCTTTTTTTCACCATCTGCAAATATAACAATACACAATACAATACTGGCTGTCTTGCTTCCGAGGCCTGTGCCATCTGACAACAGAAGCCAGTTCCAGTCAAAGTTCCAGTAATGTCTGGCAACTTCCAGGCACCTACATTTGTGGTTAAATAAAAGAAAAAGGCTTTCTTCTGGTTTACCTTCTAAATAGTTTGTTGGCATGCAGGTGGTGTCTAAGGCCCAATCCCATTCCACCCCTTGCCCCTACTTTGCGCTTAGCCCTCCGTTTTGCGTGATCATGCCTAGTGGTTGGGTGTCCCATTTTTGTTGAGATAGTGGGGTGGGGCGAAGTGTTAGGGCTACATGCCTTTTCAGAGGCACACTCCAAACAGAGTGTTATGAGAAAAAAAGAAAAACCGGCAAGATGGCTGCAGGAGCGACCAAAGAAACCCACAAATGTGAGAATTTTCTTAAAAATTACAATAACCATTCTATTGTCTTAGTTTGATGTTGTTTCAATGTATTATGGTCCTTTTCTTCATAACAAGCACAGAAAATCGCTAATGTCTCGGTAGCTAGCTAGCTAAATTTCCCGTTCCATCTTAAATAGTCCAGCAGTACTGATGCCTATAGCGCCAGAATGTAACTGCTGCTACATTTAAGGTGGAACAGGAAAATTCGAACAAGAAGCTGGAGAATAGCTGACCTCAGCTTCATATCACCAAAGAATTAGGGGTGAGTGATAATACATATTAATAATAATAATAATAATAATTATTATTATTATTATTATTATTATTATTAATCACACATCCCCCGCTCTTTGAAAGCATATGATTCCCTAATATGCTGAACTTTACCCTCCTCTGCTATCAATACAGACTGGCAGGGTCGCCTACAGAGCACCGCTAGTAGCCTGTTAATGAAGTAATGTTCTTTTTTATTTGAGGGTCCATTTCATAGGGGAAGATTTTAACCACTACAACTTGTAACTCAGTTTCAAGGGGCAAGGTGACACTCGAAAACAAGGGGTAGGGGTAAAAATAAGAAGTGAGATTGGGCCTAAGTGTAGTTTTGGAGACCTAATGACTCAAAATTTCTACCATACTTTGCAGGCCTTTATCACCTTCTTTTTATACCCCCGTGAAACAGTAAGTCATGAAAAACGTTATAAGTTAAAGAGTTCCTGAACACTCAGGTGGACTTAAAAAGTGAAATACAAATAGGAATGTGATTTGTTGATAAATATTGAGTATTCCTTTAAGATTATTACCTGTTTCTGAGTCTCCAAGCAGAGTTCTCTTGACCCTACAGGACTGTCCCTTGCTGTTCACTCGTTTCAAGTCCTTGAAGTTCACAGTGTAGGTCTCCCCTTTCTTCTGGTAAGTAAATGTCTGCTCTTTCTTGTGAAAGGCTAACTCCATTTGGTAGCTAATGCTTTTGTCCAGTGGCACCCATGCTTCTCCTTCGGCCACCTCCCAGCGTAATGTCTCACTCAGTCTCTTTTCTTCTTCTTCTTGGAGCTCCCTGTCCTTGACTCCCTGGAGGAAGCTGTTGATCTTTAGAACAGCATCTAAAACATCTTCTGTCTTCCCTGACACAGTCAATTTATCTGCAGCAGCCACATGGACATGTACTTGGTTACTGTGACTGAGAGCCACGATGGCCTCTTTGTCAGCTTCAGGAAGGATGGGCAGATGACTTGACAAAATATCTTTGCTGGTACACTCTTCAGAAATGAGATCAGAAATGCATTTCTTGAGTTTAGCAAGGTCAGCAGGAGAGGTCCCATATACCTCCACATTCATGACAGGGAAAGTTACTGCAGCAGTCTCAGTAGCAAGGCACAGTGGTGGTTTGACTGGCTTTGATGCTGCCTGTGTTTGCTTTATTGGTCTGGCCTTGGTTACTGTAAAGAATGCACCACATGATTAAAATCAGTTGAAGCGGTTAAAATTTAACATACAGTATGTTATGAATAAATAGGGAATGAAATGGTAAACATGTTTACCTGATGAGGGTTTTGGTGAGATCTTCTTGAACTTCTTCAGAGTATCTTCAAATTCTGCCAACATTTTTGGTTGAAAAATAACAATGTGGACACTTTTTAAAAAAGCTGGAGAGTCAATGGAAAAATTAGCCAGAGCATCAATCATGGCTTTTGCAACCTGAGCTGCTGCCAGGTTTCCTGCTCCTGTAAGAAAGGAAAAACAACTTTTATATGCGCTTGTATTTAAAGCAATATTTTGTGTGCTTTTAGTCTTTCGGTAAGACTGCAGCTAATCTGTGGGTGCATGAGGGGGCAATGACCATCAGTTAGAATATTGTGCCCCCTTACGTTTGGCCTCCTGTTTTTCTATTTGGTCCTGCCCATGTAAACAACCCTTTAAGCAGTTTTTAAATTTGCATAACTTTTCAACCAGCATATAGACCAACATCACACCAAAGTGAAATTATATATATATATACGTTTATTGGCACTTCTGTGATGCTTCCTATGCACTATAACTGCAACTTGTAGTATTTGCTGGTGTGCAGCAGCCTTTAGACGCCTTTAGTAGTCTGTCTATGCTTCCTTCTTAAAGAGATACGAAACCAACCAAAACTAATTTAGTTGACTAAAAGCTATAAAAGAATACATAAACTAACAACATCACTAACAACATTACATAGATCAGATAATTAGTTAATAACGAATTCTCAACATCATTTTGAACACTGGAATAATCTAATTCCTTGTTTGTGCTTACCTGTTCCAAGAGCAGGAAAAGACACAGACTGGATCTTGTTTTCTTCACACTTCTTCAGAACATTATACATGCAGCGTGTAATCTCTTTCTCACTGGTCTGACCAACCATATGGACAATGTTCTTAACTGGAAGGTTTCCACCTTTCGTCAGGACCACACCATCACTGGGCTGGGTACCTTTAGTGGAATATCAACAATAATTACTCAATCATCTTTAAAGTGACAATTTTCAAACTAATGATTTTCATGCCTCTCAACCAATCACAACATCAATCAAATCATCTCTTAATGCTACTTCCTCCATCAAGCAAGGAAAAACTGCTCAGAAGAAACTTGCAGTGAGAATAATTTCAGAATCCAGCACACGCTATCCTGAAAAAGGTGGAGCTGGAAGATCTTACTCGCAGCTCAGTAACTGTGTTCACAAGCAAAGATTTTTGCCAATCTGATTGAATACATTCCAATTATAGATTAAGACTGAGGTGTTTATGTGCTCACACTACTTAATAATCTGATGGAACACGCACACTACAATTAATCCGATCCAAACTTACATGCATGCGTTAAGTACCACTCATTGTAGACGTTACCATGACAACGAGCATCACGTGAGTCCAGTCAGAGTGAGACGAGCAGCAGTGAGCAGTGCTTGTGTTTTTAATTACTTTAAAATGATGTCAGATTTAGGAAAACGTTCTTCACATGTACTTATTAAAGAAGGCCGAGAGGAAGACGTCGTTTAATTACTTTAAAATGATGTCAGACTCAGGAAAACGTTCTTCACATGTACTTATTAAAGAAGGCCGAGAGGAAGACGTCGTGTTCTGAGACACATAAGCTGGACGTCTGTCCCACCGCCGTCTTTTAAATCTCAGATCATAAACTTCGTCTCCTCTGCAGACCAGTTTCTGCTCCCAGCATGCTGAACGTTATAAACTTTCACTATGCACACATGCGCAGAACGTACGTAAACTTTCCGATTGGGAACATAATCAGTTATAGACGTTTACACGGCTATTATTCTTCTAATTAACAGAATAGTTACAGAATATAAGTAATACTGATATGATAAATATAACCAATATGATGTCTAACAATCAATAATGTGACACTATTGTAAACATGGTTTTCAGAATCTTTCTGTGCGTTTACATGCACTTAATAATCCGGTAACAGCAGAAAATCAGATTTTGTCAGTAATCCGATCAACACGGTTACGTGCTCTTGAGTAATCAGGTAATGGGAAATGGGTCTACATGAGTCAGACAGTAATCAGATTTCTGCTTTACAAGCAGCCAATAAACTCACAGAAAAAGATGTGACGTAAACCTCAAACTTCATGCCGTGTAAAAAACATTGAGCCACTTTGCCTGAAAATATGAGCATAAATCATTTAGAAGATGAAGAATATTCAAATCATTTATTTCGTATTTGGTTTCAGCGCCTCTCCAAAAGTGTTTTGCTGCATCTCGTGACATCCACTGTCTGTTCTCGCGCATGTGCAGACTGAGAAATCCAATAGAAATTGGAGTAGAGTACACATGCACTGAGAAATCTGATTACTGGGCTAAAATCCAGCTCTCTTTATCGGATTTCTTAATCAGATTTCTAGATCGGAGTATGGTGTTTACATGACCATTTGAATAGTCGGATAATGCGGAAATCCAATTATGATCAGATTATTGAGTGCATGGATCTGCACTCCTTTTTTGTTTGCTATGTACTGGTAGTAAGAGGAAGAAGTGTAACCTAAACAGCCACTACTTTAGAAGGAGCATCATACCTAGTTTCTTGCATTCTTCCACAACAGTCTGTCCTGCTGCTTTGAGAATAGCTCCGGAAACACCTGAAAGCAAAAAAATACACTTTAGATGATGTACTTACTGTTGATTTCCTGTGTCTTGCACTGCATGGCACCTTGCTCAAAATCACATCATGGGAATTACTGCAATTACAAACAATGTAGATAACAAACCCCTTACCTGAGCTGAGATTAAGGCTGGTATTAGTGCTACTGACGATCGCCTCCGTCGTCTCTTTCGTGATGTCACCACAAAGCACTTTAACTTTGACATGGCCAATGATTGCCTCTGTGGTGGCAGCTGTATATATACAAAATCAGAAAGTAGATTTAGTACTGCACAAAAAAAAAAAAAGAAATCTTATATTGTAATATATTGTAACAGTGTTACCACTTCTGGCATCTTCTTCTTCTTCTTCTTCTTCTTCTTCTTTTTCTTCTGCTGATGAGTATGAACTCTCATCACCTGAGCTGTAAGATGATTCGTCACTATCTTCATCTAATTCTTCATCGCTGTCCTGCTGAAGACATCACTACTTTTAGGGCTGTAGTTCATCTCTTTTTCAACAATGCTGTCTGCTTATTGAATACCATTCAAAAGGCAGGTAAGGAATTCAGCCACAGGCGATACAAATTCACTATTGCTATGTTCACATGATAAACCTCATTGCTCGATTTCCATTTCTTGCTCAGATCTGTTCTTTCCGCCTCTCACTGGCCATGACATTCAACAAAAACATAAACTACCAGCACACGCCTTCATTGAAAATATCATTTGTGCTGAACAGTTCTCAGCTTTAAAATGAATAAATAGGCTATGACAGTAAAATGTCTTATATGTAATGAAGATGTATCCACTTTTATGTACCCAATCTGGGACTTACAGCTGGTCGATACTGACAAAATTCAACATTGTCGGACTATATTACAGTATCAGATGATTCCAGTTTGCTACGCTATGCTAAAAGAATGCATTAAGGAACGTGACAGAGCTGCTTTTGATTGAACTTTGTTCTTTTTTGTTCTTTTATAATCACACCAAATTTAATGCATTACTGCATTAACCAGACACAAACCACATTTCCAGAAAGGAAACTTACCTATTTGTTTTTACATACTGTAAGCTGTTCAATAACGTTCAGTTTGCCAATATTTGTTACTTATTGTAAGATTTTGTCATGAGATTTATTCATTAATGATTTGCTGTGATTCATCATATGCTTTGATCTGTCATATGTAATTTGAGTAATTTCTGTAACACGTTACTCAAGTTTGTATCACATTACTTAGTGTCAAACAGGGGTGCGGGAAAAAATTGATTCTTAGATGCATCGCGATGCAGACGTGAACGATTCTGAATCTATTCACAAATGTGAAAAATCGATTTTCTAAATATTTAATTTATAACGTAATGTTGACGGAACACAAAAGGCGGAACTTGGAAGTGGGTAAGTGCAGCGCCCGGACTGTCTGTAGCAGCACATAACAAAAACACTACTGGATGAGCAAGAAATCTGACCGGCTCCCTCTGCATTAAAAGCCAGGTCAGGTCAGGAGTCACAACACAAAGGATAGGAAGAGCCATTTTGTCCTTTCAACAAAAATCAAACCACCTTGGGAGCCAAGTGTTCTCTCAGTGTTCGACTGTTTTACGAGGCTGAAGTCACTTCTTATTCTCCAGCTTCTTCTTCGAATTTTCCCGTTCCACCTTAAATTCTGACTGAGGCGCCGAATGTAAAAACGGCACCATTTAAGGTGGAACGGGAAAATTCAAAAGAGAAGCTGACTTCAGCTTTGCAACCATTTAGTGTTTGACGGTCTCTTGTTGCAGATTTAACTTGCCAGGAAACCAACTGCGCTGCTTATAAATGCGAATAACGCACCGTTGCTATGTGACCTGCAGTCTGCACACCAATTCTCAGTCGTTGCGAAACAGGGCTTTTGTGCTATGTTGCACACGTCCCGTCTCAGGGATATTTTACTGACAAGATGCATCGATAATCGTTTTATAATCGCATCGCAGCCCTCTGAATCGTAATCGAATCGAATCGTGAGGTGCCTAGAGATTCCCACCCCAAGTGTCAAACATGCATTTTTACAGTCTCTTCTGATCTATTCTGTCACAAGACCTTGGAGTAGCTGTGAGCTGATTTGGGCTACTGCTTATTGCCTGGCAATAGACAGACTTAGGACGTACGTCAACAAAGATTAGGTAATAATTTCTGGCCTAACTGGATATATTCAAAGATTACTGGCTTTAACTCTTTTTTGAGAGCCGGAAAACTGGTATAAAGAGGGTAACATTGGAGACTTACAGTGTTTTCACATATAGTTCGTTTGAAAAGAACCGAACCAAGTTCTGTTAAAGTGAACCTGGAAGGGAACCAACTGCAAATGACCGCAGTTTTTTTTTGTGCTCACAGTGTAAGTGAACTTTAAAGAGGACTCAGTTTTCTTTCTGGTCCTTTGGGATCTCAGAGCACTTCTTGTTCAGACCACAGCTCCATTAGAACTCGGACCCCTTTCACAGCACTAACGGTGAGCACAGCGCTCGCCAGGTGGGCCGCGTTCTCTGATAAATCCGACCTATCAGGTGACGAGAAGAACCGCCAGACCCGCCTGCTGCTCTCCTATTGGCCGCGCTGGAACTACTGGCCGAAGTGCATCGCGCAAAATTGGAAACACGGCCCTGCGGGTCTGCCGCGGGGTGCTCCGTGTTCGGCCGTGCTCCTCACTGAAGCTCCACCCGGCGAGTTTTCATTCATTCAGCGTTCAGAGTGAAAGCAGCTGAAAACTGCGCTGCGTGCCCAGCTCGAGCCTTTAACGCGGTATAATCACGCGGGCTCTCGCATCTGATCGCTTTAATAAGTCAGCACTGCTGTCTGTCGCTGATCACGGACGGACTTGATCCTGAGCAGAACCTCATAATGACCCTCGGTCTATTTACCTGCTGAAGACTGTGGCTGTGTGTACGGCGAGCATCGAGGTCTTCACCATAAAGCAAAGCTAAAGCGGACTGGGGCCGTTTTGTTTTCACAATGCACGAATTAATCGAACCACAAAACGAACCACAAACGAACCGAACTGAGACCACTTCGAGAGGTGGTCTCAGTTCGGTTCGTTTTTGGGGCCGTTTAGGGGGGTCTGAGTTCGTTTGGCGTGTTCACATATGCAAAAGAAACCTTGTCTTAGCGGTCTGAGTCCACTTCAGACGCTGAAACGGCCCAAGTGTGAAAACGCCCTTAGCTTAGCCTGCCACAATGGGGACGCTACATCAGGGGTCGGCAACCCAAATGTTAAGAAGAGCCATTTTGTCTATTCAGCAAAAATCAGACCACCTTGGAAGCCACAATATTTTATGTCCATTATACCATTTTGGCTGTAAATATGTCTCAGTATGTTTTAATCTGTTAGTATAGGCTAACAAATTTAATATAAACAAAAACGCAGACTAACTTTTCTCTGCTTCAAGTTTTAGCTCAGCTATAGCCGCTTTTCTCGCATCTCCGGCAGGAAACTTTTCTGCAAAAATAGGACAGTTTCTTGTAAAATGTCTCTCAATGTTCGATTTTTTACAAGGCTGAAGTCAGCTTCGCATTCACCAGCGTCTTTAATTTTCCCGTTCTACCTTACATGGTGCAGCAGGTTAAACATATCAGGAAACCAGCTGGAGTGATTATAAATGAAAATAAGTCTATTCGTCTCCAAATTATCAAAGTTCGTCGTAAATATTTCCTTTTGCTGTTTCGTTAGCTACTTGCTAGGAGAGATTGTTATCTGTGTTGCTATTGTGACCAGCAGTCTGTGCACCAACCTTCAGGGTTCAAGTTGGTGAATTAGCAGTTACACATTACCTCCAGTGTTTAAGACCATTTACTGTTACAACTGTGTTGAACGAGCGACAGAGCTTTATTTTACTGCAAAGGAGGATTATTTTATTTTTACCTACAAATCTAATTCTGCTGTGGAGCCTACACTACATTGATCTGCTCATCTGCCTTGAGCAAATGCCCTTCCAGCAGCCAGACTCAGTGTACCTCCTTTGTCTTTTTATTTTGTCTTAGGAGAAGGACACAAAGCCTCCTCTCCACAGCTGTTCACAGCCAGGCTCTGATGTGGACGTCTCATTTATATTCAGTTACTTTTCTTTCTTTTTCTTTGAATTGTTTTAAATAATCGTTTTGGAAGCAAATAATGAATGATTTCCTTCAGCACTACAAAAGCTGTGTTTTGTCTGACGAAATCTTTACATAAATCTTCATGGCGTTTTTGGACTGTTTCTTCTGAATGTAATTTGGCTCAACAAGATTCTATCGTCTTATCAATGTCGCTAAAAACCAATATCATGGTGTGACAGCACGGGTCTACTGGTAAACAAGATAACACTCAGCACTATTTGGACCACATATGTCTCAAAATTGGATCAGAAATGATCAGTATTCATATAGACCTGAAAAATCACATCTGTTACATGTTGGAAAGAAATCACAATTGTGCCACTGAGCAACCCTTAAATCTAAACACAGCATATATAGACAATGATTTAATTTAAGTCTTTCTACCTGGGGTTTTGTAGTCCATTGTTTCAGTCCTTGCAGAAACTCTTGTAGGACTTCATCTCGGTCGACAACAACGTAAAGGAGTTTGATAGCAGTGGAGGTACGTTTAGATAAATGGTCATCAAAGCCTTGCAGCATGGCAGTAATGGACTCTGCACCCTTAAGGCCACCTCCACCTTTAATAGAAGAAAAATATCCAGGTACTGTGACTATGCTGACAGAGTTGTATTTTGGGGTGACAGATATATTATTCACCAGTACATAAGAACACTGCATTATTATTATCTATTCAATTTTGGAATTATAGCTGCACTAAAAAACTTATACTGTATAGCTAAAAGAATGTGGCAACTATTATTATAACTTTTAGAGCCAGGTTTCTCACACAGATTATAGTGTGAACTGTTAAAATGCAATAAGGTGCAATGATTAGTTATTGATATCTGTAACAACAGGACAGAAATTCTGAAATTTTGCCTCCCTATTCATCAACTAGTTCGCAAAAAAATATATATAAAAAAAGAAAATTGCAATCGGTTCATACCAGTCCCAACAGCAGGGAAGGAAACAGTGCTAATCTGCTTTTCCTCGCAGCGCTCCAGGGCTTTCTTCACCCGTAAACTTGCATCAGCGGCGGAGTGGGGACCCATTATGTGGATGATGTAATCACACTGCATGTTTCCAGCACTGGTCACTGCAGCCGTGTCACTCTGAAGTGGACCTTCAGAGACATCAGAAACCAAAGTGATACACTTACTGTGGGTAACACCTCATATTGACTCATATACTGCACTATAAACCACATGAAACTATAGCTACACGCAAACAGCACTTACCATGGTTTTGGCACTCCTGTTGAACAGAGGGTCCTGCTGCTTTGAATACGGCCCCTGAAACACCTGAAAAATATATTTTTTCATTTTTATGAAAAGAAAAGGACATTTTAATGTACATAACATATTTTAAAACATGACTGTGGCACAATTTTATACCGCTTGAAATACCTTGACACGTATCAGCTGTTACAGTCAGCGAACTCAGCATATATACAACAAACAAGGACAACACTGTCACTGATGTAAAGCACCATTTTTGTGAAGCCTTGAAAATACTTGAGTGCTAATATCACCCCCTTCTGGAGAATCTTCAGTCTGCTAAATTTGAGGAAGTGAGTTGCAAGCCAGGTCTACAAGATGCTTTACTCTCTCTTTGTATTTATTGGTACTTTTTGAGCTTTAATATGTTTGTTGTAGGAGGCCTGTAAGTAAAATATGTCGCATGACACTAAATTTATGCATAAATGCCTTATTTTTCCCAAAAATTAATGTCTCCAATGTAGGGTTCCACAACATTTCAGGTACTGACAAACAACTGAAGGGAAAAAGTTTTGTTGTTATTCATAAAATATTACAGATAATTTCTATATCTGTAGCTTAAATCAACACATATTTTGAAACAATGAAACATTTTTCATAAAAACCCAATGGATGGAAATCTAGCTATTGTAAAGAATAACAACCTTGAGAGCATGAAGAAGTTCATTCACCTAAGTCTCCACCCACAAATACAATCTTTATTGCTACTGTTGATAGACTGGAGAGGTTTTAGAGAGCGCTGATAAAAATCTCATTCAACCTACTGAGAAACTGTATAAAATTAACTTTGGTCAAATTTGGACAATGTAGTGACCTTTGAGCACTAGGTTGAGTGGTAGTTTTGCTATTGGTTCTGTAACGTTCGGTTTCTCTGTAAAAGAGATTATAAAGTGTTATCACTGTTCATTTAAATCAGCTTGCCCAAATTGTCCAAATTCATATTTGTGAAATGCTGTGGTGCCCGCAAGGCCTATTAAGCTAGTAGCCCAGAGGTTCCATCTGTACTTCCTGACTGAAAACCTACAAAGGTGGACATAAGTGGTCTGGAATTTGTTCTGATGCAACAATAAGGAGCATATAAAAAAATTACCTGAGGTCAGGTTCATTTGGTTATTTGTGGTGTTCACAATGCCTTGGACAGTTTCGTTGATGATGTTACCTTTCTTCACCTCAATCCTCACACCTGCAATTTTGACTAAAGAGGGAGGATATAAATTAACGAATACCTACTTATCAGAGGAAGGAAAATTGATTGGTTAGAAAGGACTGTAAACAGATTGAAGAGTTTAGTTTTTTTTATTTTTTTTGTAGTATTTTTATTATTTAGAGTATCTCATATTTTAATCTAGAAACCTTGATTTGCAGGCATCTTGGTTTGTGCTTGGTTTGCAGGCATCTTGGTTTGTGTTGCAACTTTAGGAGGACTCTAGAAAAATAAAACAGCAAAAACCAATGATTAGTACATAAAGGAACCATAAAAATGACATCACTGTGCATTACTGTAAAGTTTATGATGGTGTTAGACAAACATTAACCTTCTTGTTCCTCTCCTTGAAGTAACTGCAGTAGGAGTCGAAAATCTTCTGTTCAAACGCAACCACAGTTATCTCCTTAAGGCAGGATGACATCAACTGACTCAAATGGTTTTCAAGTCCAGTAACAATGGCTTTGATAGACTCATTTGCTCCAATACCACCCCTCCCTGTGGATATATTTAAAAAATAACATAGTTTCTTGCAAAACATCTGTGCTTTCAAACTGTGGTTTGTAAGCTAGCAATAGATAGCACTGCACAGTACTGTTACCTGTCCCGATAGCAGGGATGGCCACTGTGGCAGCCATCTGACTTTCACACAGATTCAGGACCTTCTCAATGGAGGCTGTGATGTCAGCAGCATTGTTAGGCCCAACCATCTGAGCGATGTGCTTACATGAAAGGTTCCCACCACTTGTCAATACCACCCCGTCTGGTTTCTGAGGACCTGTTAAGTGTTATACAAGAACAACAGAGCTGTGAGGGCATATGAAATACACAATACCCTTCTTCAGAACGTTTAGAATTATCCTTTAAAAGTTTGAAATAAATGCTGATTCCAACATGATGCTAGTAAAACGGAACTTGTAAGTAATTCTAAAATGATTAAGAATCTGTGTAGCGTAAAATAATTATTATGCCTCATATTTGAGTGTTGGTGATCAAAAAAGATAACGTGTGTAAATGTATAATTATAGGTCATTACATCCAATTTCATTATTTTTGGTTGTACCACAATCACTTTTAATGACTTAATACTGAAGAAAATGTCTCAAAATACATTTCAGTTTACAGCTTATAAAACTTAAATCTACATGGTAAAAGTTATTTTTGAAAAACAAAATATTTATATACAGTAAAGTGCAAAAGTCTGGGACCACTGAGAATTCATTTATGTAATTTCCAGCCATTAGATACAAGTTCATCATTTTTTGTGAGATATTCCTGAATAGATAAAACAGAAGATAATCCACTTGCATACGGAAGAAGATCAAAGGAAAATGGAAAACAGAGTTAAAAAATGGAAAATGGAGTTAAAAAAATTATTAAATGCTACAGAGAAAATGGGACTCCAAACAACCACCTGCAAAACCTGGTAGATCAACAAAACTGTCCCCATCAGATAAACAGCACTTAAAGCTTTCATCTTTGAGAAAGAGGAGAAAATCAAGCTGCTTCAAATCTGAAAACATTCACAGGTGTTTCTGTCCATCCTTCCACTGTGAGAAGACGACTCAGCACTATGGGTCTGAAAGGATGTGTAGCTGTTCAAAAAGCTCTTACTGAGAAAAGGAAACAGACACATCAAACAAGGAAGCTTCTGGTGCTCTCAGAACAATGGACTGACCACCTCAGTCCAGACCCCAACATCACTGTTTGGGATTATTTGGATGGTGAGAAGCAGAAAATGCTAAACCAACTTCTAAGACTAAACTTACTAAATACTGAGAAAAATTATATTTAGCTGTTGAGGCTTCTGTGTTTTTTTTTATTAAATATATTTGTGTCCCTGAAGCTAAAAAATGAGGAACTTGTACATAATGGCTGTTTTGACCGCAAATTAAATAAATGAAAGATGGACTTTTACATACAGCCACTTTAAATTGGTTGTACATGTCTGTATTGATTACCATGCTTTTTGCACTCATCCACAACTGATTGCCCAGCCGCTGTCAGAATTGCACCAGAAACACCTAAACAAATGTAAAAAATAGGTGAAAGCCATTACAACACTGCAAAGGACACACCTTTACTAGTAAATAATGATCACAATAACTAAATAACTGCAGTTACAGTTATGTATAACACAAAAATGTTACCATGGTTGAAATAGTGCAATTGGCACAATAATTGCATACCAGTGTTAAGATCTAATGCACTGTTGTTGGAATTAACGATGACATCCACTGTCTCTTTGGTGATGTCTCCTTTTTTGAGATACACTTGCACTCCATGAACAGTCACTGTTTGCATTTCATACGTGTGAAAACAAACATAAGCAATACATTTAAGTTTAAGTACTGTAGGCTGTGGTTAGTGAGTTAATAAGTTACATTAAGTATCATAATAACAGGAGAGTACCTTCTGTGTCTGATCCTTGTGTACGTTTCACAGGTTTAAAAGGGTTTTTAGGGGTGGTGTTTGATGAATGGGCAAATGTCCTTACAATCGGAAAACCCTGGTAAGTGAAGAAAAAAAATTATATATATATATATATATATATATATATATATATATATATATATATATATATATATATATAAGTAAAATTTTTGTCTATACCAACTAAGAATGTAACGATTCTGAATTATTCAGTATTTCAATATTATTAATTTTCATATTATTCAATACTATACAAAACAATACATTTTGATAAAGAGCTGTGCTTTACAATCTAATCCTCTGGCCACAAGCTAATGTCAGCCTCAAGCTAACACACTAGCCACAAGATAGCATGCTAGTCACTTAAGCAATAGAACATAAGAGGGAGTGTGTTATTGCGAAATAACATCATGATGTTATTCGCGATAAAACATGACCTCGAGTGTTCTGTTTCTTTTATACAACAGTTAAATAAATAAAGTAAGAAATAAATAAATTGGGCTGCGAACATGGCATTTAATATGTTTTATGTTAGCAGTTCCTTCCACCAAATTAAAGTTCCTTAACAAACAGCTTGTTGCTACGTCAGAGTAACGGACTCCGCTCACTCACTGCACAGTCTGCTGCCTCACCTTTTGAACTACGGACTGAGCCATAAAACTGCCGCAATATCAAGTTTAGCTCAGTTTTGTCAATTCTTGATAGATCAGTATTAATGTTGTTTTGTTCCAGTCAGTCTGTAAAGCATCTTACAGCCCATTTTGTTTGGTGAATGGTATTCGGTTCATTTCTGGCTGATTCCAGGTTGTTTAGCTGTTCTTCTGTCACAGCTGCCAAACAAAAAACTTGCTCAGTGGTGATGACAGTTTGGGAATTTAGTGTAGTCTCATCTTCAGAGTCTGACCAAATTGGCTGTAGGTCAAATGTGATCTTAAAAGTATCCATTTTCTGTTTGTGCGCAAAGTAGTAAAAACATTCAAATGGCTTGAGCATCTCCTACAGCTGTCAAAGTCTTTGCTTAGCTCAATGTCCCAGCAGAGTGATACAGTGTTTGTGGAAAAAACAGTGCTGTTATGGCGAAATAACAGCACGGTTAGAACGCCTCTCAACCAATCAGCTTGTGTGGCCGGAACTAACTGTTGTATAAAATACGCTATGATACGATTAGCTGCAATATGGTGTATTGACACAGTACAACATATTGTATTGTTACATCTCTAATAGTAATAATACTTGAATAGTTGGATAGAAAAATAAACAGAACAAAAACATACCAGTTGAGCAATGATGGTGTTGAACTCTTCCACTATGGCTGGATTAGAATCCACCAAAAATATATTCTTTATACTGCTTGCAGACCTTTGATGATCATTGCTGAACTTAAGTATTGCTTCTCTGATTGCTGTGCAACTTTCTTTGACAGAAAACCCAAAAGTTCCACAGCCCATTGCTGGCATCGCGACAGAAGCACAGTTTCTACTTTCAGCCTCCTGGAGGCTACCAAGAATGGCCGATTCCAGGTAACCAAAGCTCAGAGTCTGGTTACTCTGGGGCAAGACAGCATAAATGAGAGCCTTGGCATGAAGATGACCAGTGTCACTGAGGATCACATCCCCAGCAAGTAAGGTTTGTTTTTCTTTCTGGAGTCTGCTGCACACTGATTGAATCTGAGACCCTCCGACTTGAAGGAACCGCTGGGCAATCAGATGATCAAAAGCCAGGTTGCTATTCATAGGACAAACAAAACCATCAGCTGTATAGGTCAGCAAGTCCCCCTCTGCAAGTGTTAAAGTGAGGAAATTGCTTATTTTGTGGGTGTAACACTTTGAAGGACCAGTACTGCCTGCTTTCTCTGACAGGTAAGCCATGCAGTTCAATTCCTTGGCTTTGGCCTTCACATTGGCTTCATGCTTATGCATGACCTTGGACTCTCCTGCTTTAGAATAAGCCAACGTCTCGGTGATAATGGACGACACATGCTTTTGCACCACACGTCTTGCATCTTTGATTTTCTCCTTTGCTGCTGTAACCTTCAGACTAGGAGAACTCTTTGTCCTGCAAGCAAGTATGGTTACGCCAAGGTTACGGATTTCTGGAACTTCTGACAAGTTCATGCAAGACTCAACAAACTCAACCTCTCGCAAAGACCTGAGATGGATGTCTTCAGTTGCTGGTGTCTTGTTCTCCAGATAGTCTCTCACCTTTTGTGAGAGGTCTGCCACCACTTGAGCAAATCCACAGATTACAATCTCTCCCTCTGAAGGTATAATGTTAACGTTATGAGCATTATGGCCTAATTCCACTTCGGCTTTAAGTGTCTTCAAAAAGTTCACCCAGTTTTCGCTGTTGATCACTGAAGTTAGATCACTTGTAATTTTGATGACCTCCTCTTTCAGGATCTTTGTTAATTTGTCCTCAGCTTTCTTAATGTTTGCTTTCTCTACAAGGATCCCAAGAGGATCTCCATTCTTCAGAAAGAAAGCTGGGATATGGCTTGGGACGAAATGGTCTTGCTCAAATTTCTTTAGATCTAAAGACTTCAGAAAGTGAAGCAGATGCAACGAGAGGCTCAACTTGTGAAGGACAACACTGTCCTTTACCTGTGTGATGACCCTCTCAGCTACACTTACATCATCCTTCAAACCTCTAAGACTGAAGGTCAGGGATCCTTCATCTTTGATAAAACTAGTTTCACTACTTAGTTTGGAATGTACTTGATTTGCTACCAGCTCAAACATCTCTTTCGATCCCAAGGGAATCACTTTCTCAACAGTGTTTCTCTCGACTTCTAATTCTGCAGATGCATCTTGAAGAAGGCTTCGTATCTTGTCTAAAAGGGTACTGACTGCCTCTTTTAGGCCAACTACTACAATTTTGCTTTTGTCTTCCTTGAAGGAGAGATCAACATCCAAACTGATAAGCTGGTGACAATGCTTCTCTACCCTCTTCCACACCTCAACCTCAACTGCCAATTCAGATGTGCTGTACTTGCTCAGAAAGGCATCCGCTTCTCTTCTGGCCTTAGACTCCCAGGTTCGCCCAACTCGCAGTGCGGCTAAAGACTCTTTGTCCACAGCCATCTCCAGTTTTATCTCTTGGGAGGATGTGGTGTTGTCAAAAAGGACAATAGCATGAACCTTCTTGAGTTGACTCTGAAAGTCATTTTTGCACTGTCCATTTCTTTCAATGAAACCAAGCACTTCCTCATCAACAGGAATGATGATGTTTGTGGGAATGTTGGACAAAGTAGGCATCTTCCCAGTTAGAGCCGTCTGCAGACTTGGGTAAAAAAGAAAAACGCTGAGATCCGTTTCACAAATACGATGCTTCTGCTCCACTACTTGTTGCGCAACTGTTGAAGAGCAAGAGAGATTCAGTAAAAGGTTTTATTCTATCAATATATTTAATGTCATGTCTTATTTAATGTCATTGGGAAATACTATAAATTGTCTATAGCCACCCAATGCAAAAGAGTTACTCATTCATTTGAGTCAGTGATTGCACAGTCAGTAGTGACATACTAAAATTGTGGTTATGAGATGTGGAAAAAAAAATATACCATGAAACTCTTCAAAGCAGATGACCACACTTTTGAGTTTGTTGACCCAAATTAAGGATTTGACGTCTCCTCCACCACTTCTCTTCTTGTTGCTGAAGTACAGAGTGAGAATTTCTTCTTTAATTTTGCTCATGTCCCCTTCCACCAGAACTGAATCTGTAAGCTCCAAATGAGAAGCTCCAATCTCCATGTCCTTCAGCTTTTTGGTGGTGCACTTCTTTATGAATACATTTCCATCTGAAAAAAAAAAATGTACCATTAATATATATTTTATTTAAAAAGTACAACCCTGACAAAAATGTAAACAGTTGCTCACAGTGGTTTGGTGTGAAATGCTTCATTCTAGAGAAACTTAAAGACTCAGAAGTGTTCACAGTGGGGGTGATAGGAACCAGACGTCCACCTCTAAAAGCTCCCTCATAGAACGTTATTACATGAAATGGTTTTTGAATGCCTAAAACATTGTTTTATAATAGTTTTGCGAAGAAGTTTTAGTCTAAAATGTGTTTTTGAAAATACATGCACGGTGGAGAGGTATGTGCAGGATGTTCCCCAAAAAACATAATTTCCAGATTTACCACTGTTTTACCATTATCAACATAACACATAAAAAGTCAGAGGACTACTGTAGGTTCACTGGTCATGGATAGTAAATAATCACCACCACTGTAAAGAATCCAAGCTGGCAAGTTTGTCTTATGTGGCACAGAAATTTTGAAAAATTATATGTATATATAATTAGATATCACAAAATTATATGTGTTGTATGTTATATTTATACTGTACTTTAGGAACACCATCAATTAATTGTGAACTCACCAATATCTTCTTTGAAGGTGACCACAATCCTGTCATCACCTAAAAGCTCCCAGGTATGTTCTGCTTTTTGACTGCAGCTGCCAATGAACACTGAAATTAATTTGCATGTGCAGTTGTCTTTAAACCCAGTTAAGATGAAGCGACGGGGGTCCCACATCTCTGACACATTTCCTTTTTTACACACCTCCACCGAAATGCCAAAGTCATGTTCCTTCTGGCCCAGAATCTTCTGTACATCTAAAAAAAAAAAATAAAATTAGTTGGTGTTTTTTTAGGTATATGAACAATTTGTAATTATTGATGCAATAGAGATAATATCTTTTAAACCCATAAGCTCTTCCACCCAATTAACAATGGCGAACTGAGACTATTAGAGCTAGGCCTTTAGCACAGACCAAAAACGTCAAAACTTGGTCAAAAAACAAAGAAAACCCACCTCTACAATAATGCTACTTTCTGCTAGAAAACCTAGGGGATTCTATTTGTATGCTAGCACTAAATTAACAGCAGTTTATTTTTTAAACATTTTTTGGCTGTTCTAGAATTAAAACAGGTGTTTCAAGCTTGTAACAGACATTAACGTATATTAGAGCTTGTATGTATCAGTTTTACTCTGAGTAAAGAGTCCTGGCAGAGCTGCTGTCGCTGTTTTTTATTACTAACAACTACCTGAAACCTAGCTTGTTTTTACAGTCTGTGACTTATCTAGAACTTTCTGAAGGCTTAGTGTGACATTTACTTCACTGCAAATCAAAGATGATCATCAAACGTGTAAGACCTTCTGTTCAGTTCCTGAAGTCCTAACTAATGGGAGAGCTCTCTCTCTCTCTATCTACTTAGTTACCACAGAGAACAAAAACCTGATTCGCTAATTTTCCATATTTTCTAGAATGTAATTTTTTTATTTTTATCAAACTAAAACCTAACAAAGATGGGGTTGAGGATTATATTGTACAAAACAATCTATAGACATGTCTTTTTTTATTTCACAGAAACCATGAGGGTTTCTCTGAAGGCCTAGAAGGTCCTGAGGGTTCCTCACTTCTAATTAGAACGGGATATCCACTGGGATGCAAAGGAAAAATTAAAAAACACATGCCTTGATTTCCTAAACACTGGCAAAATGTTATGGCAATATTTACCTGACTGGTTGGCTACTTTTAGGACCCAACTGTCTTTCCCATGTTTTGTGATTTCTACGTGCTCGGTGAACTGCTCAAAGTACATTGTGAGGGTATCTTTATCAACTGACTCGGTGGTGCTGACGAGCAAGTCCTGTGTTCTGGAGTCCCCATCATTTCCTGAAACACAGAAATTGATATGACTCATTTTCAACTTTAGTGTATTTTATGATGGGAGCACATTTCATGGCCTATGTGCTGCATATCAATCATTAATGAATTAAAGTATTCAAAAAATTTTATACCTTTGGGAATTTCGGAGACCGACTTTTTTCATCAAATCCATGTAAAAGACAATAAGATATAACAAATGTATTAGACATATATAGACTATATATATGCACCGATCAGGCATAACATTCTTTCCACACTCATTGTCCATTTTATCAGCTCCACTTACTATATAGGTGCACTTTGTAGTTCTACAGTTACAGACTGTAGTCCATCTGTTTCTCTAAATACTTTGTTAGCCCCCTTTTACCCTGTTCTTCAGTGGTCAGGACCCAAATGCACCCTCACAGAGCAGGTACTATTTGGGTGGTGGATCATTCTCAGCACTGCAGTAACACTGACGTGGTGGTGGTGTGTCCACTCACTGTCCACTCTATTAGACGCACATACGTTGTTGGTCCACCTTGTAGATGTAAAGTCAAAGATCATAGCTCATCTCTTGCTGTACAGTATGAGCTAATCATCCTCTAGTCCTTCATCAGTGGACATAGGACGCTGCCCACAGGACGCTGTTGACTGGATATTTTTGGTTGGTGGACCAAATTCTCAGTCCAGCAGCGACTCTGAGGTGTTTAAAAACTCCAGCAGCACTGCTGTGTCTGATCCACTCAGACCAGCGCAACACACACTACCACACCACCACCACGTCAGTGTTACTGCAGTGCTGAGAATGATCCACCACCCAAACAGTACCTGCTCTGTGAGGGTCCATGGGGGTTCTGACCACTGAAGAACAGAGTAAAAGGGCACCTATATAGTAAGTGGAGCTGATAAAATGGACAATGAGCGTAGAAACAAGGAGGTGGTCATAATGTTATGCCTTATCGGTGTATGTATGTAAGTTTCAAAGGCTTTAAAGTTTGGTGAACATCAAAAACACAAACATTAATTACAATCAAATTCTAATAAGCAAACAAATATATATATATATATATATATATACATACATATATAATACACATATACACACACACACACACACACATATATATATATATATATATATATATATACACACATATATACACATATATATATATACACACACTCCCCCACTCGCCATCATTGTATCATGTAACACATTCCTTATCAATGTTGTCAGATCAGCACTGCTTGAAACATTTCCTCATTCTCTTCTCCTCCTCCCATTTTCTTACTAAAGTAGAAAGACTGGTCACCTGAAATGTCTCTTTAAGTATTATGTAAGGTCTCTTTAGGGCCAGCGTCCGGTACCTGGCATGATTTTGAAACAGAGAGATAAAGATAAGTTACCTCGGCGGGAGGGGCCTGTGCTGACTGGTTGAGCTCGAGCTTTTCCAGCTTAGGTTTAGGCTGTACAGGAGGTTTGACTTTTTGCACCACAGGGCTCTGGTCCTCCAGATGTTTTAATGTCACTTTCACGACTCCTTGAGCTTTGAAATCAATCTGGTGGATTCTTTTCTCAAGTACTTTCTTTAATTCTGGGAATTGGAAAAAGATATATTTCACAGAAATAATGAACAGATGAACAGAATCAATATTTTATTATTAATTAACAAGAAACAAAAACATTTTGTAGTGACTGCCTGTAAAAAATGAGGTGATGTTTTGATGTTTTGACTTAAATGTAAGTAGCCTTGACATTTTTAGTTCACTGACCTTCAAATAAGTTGACAGAATGTAAAACACCAATTATTATTCTTTTTTACTTACAATTATAAATTCAGAGAACTCGAAAATTTGAAGGGGAACTCCACCGATTAAGTTATGATGGAAATAAAGACATGCAAAGTGGTTTGACATGAAATGCTCTGTTTTAGAGAAACTTACTTTTTTAAAATCAGTTTATGGCATGAGGTGTACATGCAAAGCAAAATAGTCTCCAAAGTTTTTTTTTAATCTTTTCAGATTTACCACTGTTTTATCCCGATAGCAAGAGGATAGTGGATCCCTGTCGGCCCACTGATGGCAAAGTTGGCGGCCCACTTGCATTTTGCTCAGCGTTTTCTGGGCGGCCCACCGGAGGGTAAGCAGAATAATAGACAAAATTCCACTTATCAACACTCATTTTCCATTTACAGTCCAGTTTACTTATTTTCCCTTCCTTACTTTCTTTAGGTATACTTTGTAAATTAGTTTAGTAAATAATTTTAATCTAGCGCAGTGTCAGCAACAACATGTTCCATAAAATCATTTCACATCAGGCCTAGTTTTGTCTCTCAGTTGTTTGTAATGTTTGTCTAAATTAATTTTACAAAATAAAAGTGCCTTTAAAATCTGTTTGAGTAGATAAAAACTAGCTTGAGCTTGTTTGCAGGACAGTAATCTGGGTTGTCCGAGGTTGTCCAGCAGTGGCATACAGTCAGTGTTGTGCCGACTATACTAAACTAGCGGACCTATTTATACTTGCTATCTGGGTCATCATCAACATTATATAAAAGTCGTTGTGACCCCTGGTGACCCCTGGGTCCTGTCATCACCACTGTAACGAAACCTGTCAGTTAAGTTGCTTTTCACATGAAAACACTCTAAAAGACTTTGTTTACACCTCAACCACTGACTAATGCAGGAAATTTGAAAAATCGGTGGGATTCCCCTTTGAAGCAAACAGCTTAACTTACGTAGCTACTTCTTGTTGTTGTTCCTGTTCATTAAAAATGCGTTATATTTTACAGTGTGACGAATTTGTGAGCTGGTTAACACTAGCAGATATCTCACCTTCTTCAGTGAGGTAAACGAGCAGAGCTTTCCGTTTGTCTTCTGGATGCTCCTGAATCTGTAAAACCTCCGCTCCAGATCTCCTCTTGTTTCTGAAATATAACTCTAACTTCGCCCTCACTGAGTGGAAATCATCTGGAAGACCCTCGACCACCAGCGTTTTCTCGGCCATCCCGATTTCTAGTTCTGAACTCAGTCCATAGACATCTGAATACGTCTTTATGAGTCGAGTAAAGCAAAACGAGCTCTTGGCGGCTTCATAGCAGTTCGGAAGTCACCTGTTTTTCACACCGAGGCTGACTAACTTTCACTTTTGCTTCAGGAGACTAAACCGAGAGCCGCGTGATTTACAGGAAGCACACAGAGTCGTCGACACAACCAGAGGACTGTGTCAACAGGAAGATAAGCGAAATACTTCGCGATTTAAGCATTTTAATCAGTCATTTTCTGTTTGTTTTGTGAGCGAGTGAAGTAAAGTTAGCGGTTAGCCTTCAGCTGCGTTTCGATTCAACAATGTCGGCTACAGAGGAGCACCAAGTCAACGGCGAGGTGATTAGGCTCCTTTTCTCCCTTTTTCCTGTGTCAGGACTTCGCCTGAAATGTTGTAATATACAGTTTGGAAGTGTTAGTTGATAGAAAAGTAGGAGGTTGGTGTGGTTTAACATGTTAGCGCTGCTTGAACATTCGGCCGTTAAATCAACGTTGAATTCAAGTACGTAAGGTTAAGTTAACCTAGTTTAGCTAACCTAACCGCAGTTTCGTTACGCTTTATGATGTCTGAAAACGAAAGACCTCCAAATAAAGACGTTGAAAAGACGGCAGTGTCACCCTAAAGTTATAGTATTTTTGGTGAGAAGCGTTGAAAAGACGTTAAAATGAAAAATGTCTGCGTTTTATTAATCTCGAAATTATTCTAAAGGTAGTCGCCCATCAATCTGTCCTACTGCGCATGCGCATATCCTTATTTTAGTGTAGTAACTTAGCTAGTTTATAGACGTTTTCTTGTGTGTTTTTTGTTAATTCTGCTTTACTTCAAATGTATTATACACACCTAGCTAGCTTACTAATGCTGCTTTCTCTCTGATAAAGTGATGTAGGCAATTAATATATCCTAATTATAGTATTAATGCTGGTACCAATTTCTGATGAGGTGATTTATGTAGGGATCTACTTAAAAATATGCGCTGCAGTAGGACATTTTGACAAGGTAGTACAATTTGTCTGCATGAATAGCTTATAATGGGGATTCCATCAGTTTTACAAAAATTCTCCATAGCTTTGAGATGGTTTGATATGGTGCATTCTAGAGAAACTTACAGACTCATATGTATTTACAGTGGTGGTGATAGGAACCAGGGGTCACAATGACTACAACACAAATATAGCCATTTTATTTACTATCCAAAACCACCAGTGAACATAAACATGTCTTCTGAGTTTTTATATATAATGTTGATGGTAATATAGCAGTAAATCTGAAAAAATAAGTCTGCTTTAGGGACTATTTTGCCTCCCAACACCCTATGCTAAAAAAATAGTGATGGCTTCACTTGATTCAAATGTGTACATTGGTTCCACATGAATAAAATGTATTACATCAGCTCAGTTCTTGCCCAAATTGAGGAAACTTAAAGAAAACAATTGTGTTTATGTCACATACGTTATTAATGTGGAACCGATACACACATTTGAAGCAAGTGAAGCCAGCGGACAGCAAATTAGTTTTCACCGTGCATGTACTTCTCTGCCATGAATTCATTAAAAAAGGATGAAAGCTTATCTCAAAACTATTAAAAAAAAGATGCTCCAGGCTTCAGGTAATGTATTCATAACTATCTTGTGTAAAAACTTTCTGTGAGGGAGCTTTTAGAGGTGGACGTCTGGTTCCTATCACCACCACTGTGAACAATTCTGACTGTAATTTCTTCTCCTGCTTCTGTTATATATAACTATTGTTATTAGTAGTAATACCTGTAGTATTGTTCTTGTCATTATTGTTATTAGTAGTACATGATGTGGCATCTTGAAAAAATAGTAGGCTGCTAGAATAGACAGACTGGAAACAGGTCTCTTACAAGCTGAATTTTAAATGCAATTTTTGGACGACTATGGACGTTATTAATAGTTGACTGACTGACTGACTTTTTAAAACGTATTAACATGTCTCCAACAGACAGTTTCTAGACAGATTTTGGACATTCTTTGTTCTCAAGAACAGTCATTCTCAAACAGGTCCTCAGGCACCCCATATTTTTGCTCAATCCCACTTGCCAATAGGGATACAACATAAATATTTTTATTTATTTATTTACTTACCTTTAATTAACGAGGAAAAATCCCACTGAGATCTAAAATCTCTTTTACTGGAGTGTCCTGACCAAGAGAGGCAGCAGCACATAAATTGTTCCCACAAAAGAAATAACATGTTACCAGCGTGAAACAGAAAATTCAATAATCAACAACCCCCACAAAACGTTTAAAACATAGACAAACAGTTTTACCCACTTCCACTGCTTTAACTCTACCTGTAACAAATTACAATCAGATGGTGCAGCATAACTAAAAGCTTGTTTTCCTAATTCAGTATGTATGGTGGGAATCTTAAGATACACATTATGGACTGTGTGTGAGTCCCTGAGGACCAGTTCTAGAACCACTGTTCTAGTTTATCCTTTAATATGCTTAAACAATACTTTGTAGCTCCATTCATCTAAAGAGAATAGGAAATGGTGGTGGCAATTTTGTCATTTTTGTCATTTTATTAAACATGCATATGGATTCCCTCCATTTACATTGAGATCTGTGCACTCTTGGATGCCCCAGTGATGTTTGTTACAGGCTTGTTGTTACAGTCTCTCTCGATTTGTGTACTTGTCAGTCTCTCAGCACGTCTGCGCAGCAGATGGCCGATGCTTTGGAAGAACTGGAGAAATGGAAGGTAAGCTTCATCGCTGTACATTTGGACGAATCATAGACCCCGTTTACACCTGGTCACTTCATGCATCTTGAGTATAAGGATTATATCTGGATAAGTCACATAAAATTGCAAGTGTAAACGCACCCAAGATGCATTTAACAGATACAATCAAGCTGATCGCTCAAACCACTTCAGGAGACTCCTGTTACGGCAGCGTAAATAGATCCGTCTCTCCAAGACGCGTTTGACAATAAAAACCCTGACTAGTACAACCACAACTCCTCCCAGTACAACCATATCCCCTCCCAGTACAACCAGAACTCCTCCCATTACAACTGAAACTCATCCTCATGCGTCTGCGAGGAAGATTAAACACTGGATGAAGCTAAATGTTTAATGGACAGATACCATGTAAAAACAAACTGCCGACAAAGATGCTGAATGGAGAAACAGTTGGTAACTGTTTGCCGCAAAATGAACGGATTTGCATAATCCGTCCCACACACCAATCGAATTTCATGTGGCTGAGATCTTATCAGGACACAATCCAGATACTAATCACATGAAACGACCAGATGTAAACGCCGTCATAACCTATAATCTGATCAGTTGGGTTAGGTCTATATGCTGTAACCCAATTGTATATATGCTGTACCAGGTCTGTGTGCTGTATGTGGCACCAGCCCTCCTCCTGGAGACCTGCTTTCCTGCAGAGTTTAGTTCCAACCTGCATCTGACATGCTTTCCTCCCATCGCCTAACACTAATGCATCTGATCCAGCCAATCAAGAACTTCCGAAAAGCTCACTTAGCTGGAGCAGGTGTGGCAGATCATGGTTGGAACTGGACTCTGCAGGAAGGCAGATCTTCACTGCTGTAACCTATACAGTGATTGGTCATGGATTTGATGGTCAGTTTCTTTTATACATTTTTGGTCCTAATAGAAAAAGGTGGAGGCTGCAGAGAATGAAAAGTCCAGGTTGCTGCTGGAGAAGTTCGACACAGAAGATAAAAAGAAAAAGGCCCAGCAAGAAACAACGGATTTGCTGCAAATCGAAGAACAACTTACAGCTGACTTTAACAAAACGTTGGAAGCCATACAGGTATGCTGTAATCTGACTCGCTAACACTACTGATCAAAAGTTTGGATTCACTGTTTTCAGTAATATAAAGCCAGTTTTGTTGCAGATGTATAAAAATATTGTAACGTAATAGATAATAATAGGTTCATTCTATAATTTTTTAAAATACTTACATGAATACTTATATGATAATAGTTATATCACCATTATTATAATAATAATAATAATAATTGAAAAGGCTATATAACATCAAGAATGAATGTGTAAAATTAAAATTAATATCCAGAGTGCATCATGTTCGAAAAGCAGTGACCAAATGTCACTAATCAAATAGCTATACATAATCATTTTTATTAGGAATACTTAATTTCTGTAGATATGACTATGAATAGACGATTTGAATTTACTATTTTTTTGTAATGTCCTAACTTCTTGATGTTCTCAAAATACTTAAAACTGTCAATAAATAAAATCAAAATGTAGTGTTTAGCTTATGGCATTGTAGTCTAAACTGTGTAAGTTATTATTGAATAACATTTAGTAATATGACAAGTGATTCCAAATGTTTGAAGCTTATTGTTCATGCATTAAAAATTGGTATTAACAATTTAATTAACAGGATAAAAACTTGTAAATCTTCTTCTAGTTTCTTCTTGTTTTTCTATGTATCCACTTGTTTCTGGCTTTGGATGGTTTTGATTTTATGATTTTATGCTTCTTATTTTCTCATTAGTAGAATTTTCTGTTCACTCCATTTTCATAAAGATTTTGGAAACAAAATAAAAGGTGTCATAAAATGTTTATTTATTATTTGTATTGTTGTTGTTAGTAGTACTAGCAGTAGCATTATTGTTATTTTTATTTTATTATATATCTATATTAATACTCTAGATGGCAATACAACATGCATACAACATTAACCAGGTTAACCAAGTCAAAAGTGGTTTATTGTTTACTTTTTTCTGCTGTAGGAGGAAATGTTCCATCTTCATAATGCTAAACAGGATCTGCTGAAGAAGCTGCAGAGTTATAAAGAACAGCTCAAGACCAAGAAGGCTGAGACAGACTCTTTGCAGCAGAGATTCAAGGTAACAGAAGAAACTCGGTCACAACAGAATCTTATATTGAGTATGTTTGATTTGGTTGACCTGATTGGAAACAAATTATATATATTACTACTTTTTTATAGCCCAGTGTGGCATCTTTATCTATGTATTATAACTGTTGAATCTGCAGCTTTTTTTGCAATATAATGCAATACATAACAACGGCACATGGGGGCGACAAAGCATGAATATTTTTAAATAACATCTGTTCTATTAGACTTGCAGGCAAAAAACACACACACACACACACACACACACACACACACACACACACACACACACACACATATATATATATATATATATATATATAGGGCTGTTTGTACTTCTACTAAAAAAAACAAACATATATACACCATAGCATCCAAATATAATTGACAAAGGACTCTTATCCTTCTCAGATCAAAGCTCAGATCCCTAACAAAAAAATGAAGTACACCCACGTGGATGAAGAGGCAGCAGGTGAGAGTGAGAACGGAGAGAATGCGGTTCTGAACACCAGGGCAGTGTTTACCATCACTCAGAGACCTTCTGTCCTGCTGAAAGGTGGACAAGCACTCATCACGTTTGAGGAAGAGAAAGGTACAGTCATATCCAGGCATGCTTGCATCTGTCAATTTCCTCTTTCCTCCTACCACATTCTCCATAAAAACCCATAAAACAATGGAATAATGCCTGAGATAGATTTATAGTTAGATAGACAGATAGATATAACTTGAGGTGGGAAGATAAAAAAAAACAGTATGATTAAAGGCAGAACAACAACATTGAACATTAAAATGTTCAATAAAACAATCATTGTGATACCATTTTTTTAAGAATAGCATTGCTGTCTTGCTGGTTTTGTGTTTTCCAATGTCACACGAAATACACAAAACATTGTGAAAATGTCTTCAAATAGCATGATATTATATTTTTGACATATTGACCACCATTACAAAGATTTACCTACATCTCAGTAAATTCAGCAGCAAAAAGAACTTGTTGCATACACATATAGTGATATGCAAAAGTTGGAGTACCTCAGGTCAAATTGTTTTTGCTGATTTTCACGCAAGTTAACATATCCTAGAGAATAAGCTTAAATATAACCTTCTTCTGAAATGTTCAATGCACATGTATTTATTTGGGAGTTTAGCAATATTGGGGAAAAAAAACCTAAAATACAAAACATTTTTATCTTTTTTTTGTTTGATTTTACCAGTGTTATATTTTGCAAGTAAACAGTAATTGTGCATTAAAATCATGTGCATAGAAATAAAACAAGTGTGTTCTCTGCAGAGGACTGTCTATGGCTGTTATGTTATTTTGTACTCTATTTATTATGAGATTTTGTTGTGTTTGAAATGCAGTTTCAAATCATCGCAACAAAACCTCATATCTCCAAAATGGTAACTTTACAGGAGAAGGAAAAAACTTACTTTACTTTTAATGTAAGTCAATGGAACCAGACATTTTTCCAAGTCATTTTGGGTCATTTTCTTTTCCATCATGAAATTTACACACAATGTAAAAGGCAAAAGGCGTTTTCCAATTATGTCATAAACTGAAAAACAAAAAAAAATGGAGATACAAGGTTTATTCTGACAACAGCGATATGCTGGTTCCACAGTCAGATTTCTTTTTTAGTGCTGTGCAAAAACCTCTAAAGCTCAGTCTTAGAAGTTGGTGGCATTTTCTGTTTTTTCTCAGTGATGGCTTTGCAAAAGCTTCACTTAGCATACATTATATTAAATATACATATTGTTCATAATACAGTAGAATAGCAATGTTCACAGAGCCCAGTAGCTCATTCATGGTAGTCTCTCCTTTTTTGAGAAATGACTAAAAATGAATTATTATCTGTTACATTGTCCATATCAGCTGACACAAACATTTGCAAATTCTCTCTTGAAGTGGCAGATCAGATCCTCAGGCTGGCGAAGTGCTCTGTAACCTGCGACAGATCCAAGATAGACGTGAAGCCACACTCCTTATCTCTAGATCCCTCTGTGAAATTTGAGGTACAGTGAAACTGCGGTGGTCTGGGACATGATCAACAGAACAATGACGAGAACAAATCTCTTTTTACCCTTTTTTTTCAGTTAGCCTTGCCACCTCGTAGCTGGCTGGGTCATTCTAGATTTTTCTTGTCTGCAGGTACATATTACTGTGTCCAAGAAGACCATCAAGTTCTCCAATGCTGCTTCTATTCTGCCCGAGGAGCGAATGAGGGACCGGCTGGAGTTGAGCTTCTCGAAGCCCAGCCGTGGTGGAGGAGAAGTGGAGAGAGTGGAGTACGATTCAAAGACTGGAACAGGCCGCATTACCTTCCTCAATACTGGAGGTCTGTCTGCTAAGAGCTCCAACCACAGTTCGTTTTCTCTTAAAGGGGAATTCCACCAACATTGTTGTGTAGTTAAAGGAATAGTTTGTGAACTTTACCCAATTTTCCACTCCAGATGTAGTCCATCAGCTAACAAACACTAGTGCTCAATAGTCACCCAAATAGCCCAAATCGTTTGGATCCTTAAAACTTCTCCCAGTCCACATCCAGGTCTGTGGAACTGTTTAAATATTATTTGTATTTGATGAAAAAGTCATCATTGTGCGTACAGTCTTATTTTGTAGGAAATAAAATATATTTTTTACCACTTTTTGGTTGTTTCTTGACATTAAAATCAAATGGAAAAAGGACACAGACCTAAACCTGTCAGTACTGAATGTAAATTTGACACAGTATAAATACATTGTGTAACTTACTGCGTAACTAAAAAATAATTATGTAAATACACAATTACATTTGAATAGTGCAGTAAAATGAAAACAATCTTAGGCTCTTATGTCTCATCTATAAACAGCAACCAGCCGGACGAGTTTTCATTCTTATCTCTGGTACAGTCATGTGTGAACACTGACATATATTTTTTTGTTCCACTTTCAGTTGCAGAGAATCTGGTTCCTAAACAAAAGTTCTACGTTGATATAGGATATGAGATGGAGGTCAACATTGCACCGCTATTTGAATTCCAACTGAAAAAATTTCAGGTAAGCTTAAGTGAACATACCAATTCTCAAATTTTTTGTAAAGGTTATGTTTGATTGTATTTTGGTTATATAAGGCTAAATAGTGTTTCTTAATCCTGGTCATTGGGTGGCCCTGTATTTCATGCTATGCCATTTTCTCTTTTAGCAACACATCCTAGGTTCTCCATGGCATATTTGGCTTCAGATGCTCTTCTTGCATTTTGCTTAATTACACTGTGTGCGAAAGGTGTCCAGAGACCCCTTCTAAATACTGAATTTAAGACTTCAGTGTGTTCAGTGGCTCGCAAACAGATCTCCACTGGAAAGCATTAGTCACACATAGTTCCATGACCCATAGTCACACATGAGCCTAAGGCCAGTGCCAAGTGTGGGTTAGAGGGATATAAAGGCTGCCCAGAATTGGGCTGTAGAGCAGTGGGACTGCGTTCTGTGGAGTGATGGAGCTCCATCCAGTAACTTTGCGATGAGTTAGATTGGTGTTTATGATCCAGCACTCCAATCAGTACCTGACTTCACTAATGCTCCTGTGGCTGAATGCACTCAAATTAAGTAGAGGCTGTTACTGCATCTCCTCAGCATAACCATGCAAGCTGCGAGGTTTTGAAGTTTAAGGTAGTTGTAGCCCATCAGGTAATACAAACACTAGAGAACATTTCCAGATTTTGGCACAAAATGCCCAAAAGTTGTTTAGTTTGAGGCTGTAATATAGTATCGAAAGCCAGCAAAGATTTAAGAGTTTGCAGTTTGCTGGCTTAAGAAAAAGGCGTCTCTGGATTTAAAAGTTGAGGCGCCCTCTGCTGTGCATACTACATTTACTACGGGGGCAGTCATGGGCTGGAGGTTAGGGAACCAGCCTTGTGACTGGAAAGTCGCCGGTTCGATCCCCTGAGCCGATGTGACTGAAGTGCCCTTGAGCAAGGCACCTAACCCCCAACTGCTCCCCGGGTGCCGTGGATAGGGCTGCCCACTGCCCTGTTCAGGTGTTCTCACTGCCCCCTAGTGTGTGTGTTCACTAGTGTGTATGTGGTGTTTCACTGCACGGATGGGTAAAATGCGAAGGTGAAATTCCCCCTTGTGGGACTAATAATCTCTTAATCTTAATCTACCCTCAGCCTGTTTTATGCTGCGTTAACATGTTTGTGTTGAAAAATAAACATGGCTCCATGCCTCATATCAGTACGTGATCAATGGTGCTATCACCATGCCAGGCAAACGTTGACATGGTGACAGCGGTACTGGCAAATATGGATGATTATCAGAGGAGAACTTTAGCAGTGTAGATTGTTTAAGATGGAAAAAGACAGGATGTGGCTCTGTACTGTTTTGTGTTGTTAACTAATAGGTTCGTCTAGAATTCAACAATGAGACATTTAGCATCCATGACTCCCAAAAAAACAAACATGCTGCAGTCAACAACCAAAGCCAACGTGTAAAAGCAACATCTGAATTAACTGATTACGTTTTAAAAAAGCTTACCTTTAGATAATAAACTATTTTGTTTCCCATTTTGAAAATGAAGGCTCCAACCATACGCTCATTACTGCTGGTTCAGGTTTCTTCATTCTTAGTGTGTACTCACACTAGACGATTCATATCGGGTCTGAGCATGTTTGACCCCCAAAGCCCAGTTTGACTAGTGTGATTGCTCCCACTGAATCATGGCCAGCCTTGCTTGAAGAGGTGGGCTCAGGTACACTTCAGTTGGACTCAGACATGGTATGCATCTAGTGGGCTCGCTAACCATGCCCAAGCATGGAACTTAAACATGTTGTCAGTGATGTGACTGTCACACTTTTCAATTCATTCAAGAATATTTGTCTCACCTTATTGAAGAACATGATTTGTATTTGCCAGGTAAACGTTGACGTTGAGCATAAATGAGCCTTTATATGTGCAACGCCATTAACCATAATCGCTGCATTGCATAATCAATAAATCTATAAGGCTTGTGAGAGGGCTGTGCATCAGTGCGTCCAATACGACTCCCAAACAAGCGACAAAGTGAATGAACTACATTGTGCTATGTGAGAGTACTTTTCTACAAAAACAAGTAGTCACATCATGATGATGTAAGCTTGGGTCAGGCACATTAAGTGCTGTGTGAGTGCAGAACAGCGGGGGAGTGGGGAGGGGGGCACAGTCGTGCTTGGGCATGGTACAAGGCCACTGTGCCCAGTGTGAGTATGTCCTCAAAGATGCAGAAAAACACTACTTGATGGCCAATAGTGCCCCCTTGTTTGGAACCTGAATAATGTGTAGAAAATGAATATGTGTATTTTGCAAAATAAAAATTGAAATATAAAGCTTCTACATGCTGCTTTTTTCCCCACACTTAAAATAGCAATTACATTTACTGAGATCAATACTTTTAATAAACAATTTATGTCGCTTTAATCTTAGTGCTAAAAATTAATTTTAAAAACTTTAAGCGCTCCAAAAGTTTTCATACAGCCAAGCTTTGCCATTGTCTGACATCTAAACAAACGAGCAAAAGTCAGATATGCGGACTCGAACCTGCTGAATATAAATGTAACTGTATTTAATTATTGTAGTAACATATAACTGATTATGTAATATGACTCGAATGTTGCAAAATAACAATAAGTCTAGAAAATTTTAATGTTAAATTGCACATTAGAGCAGAAAGAATATTAAAAATGTGCAGTGCATGTGGGCCTCCATGAGCAGGACTGAGAAACATTGATATAATCTGTGCACTTTCATGTAATTTACTTATCGATTGATATGCGATCCTAGACGTTCTCAGGGGTGCCAAAACGCACTGTGCTGCTGAAGGGCATTCAGGATGTGACGGATGAGGAGGATCTGCAGGACCATCTGGAGATTCACTTCCAGAAGCCCAGCAATTACGGTGGAGAAGTGGAGTCCATTAAATATGTGTCTGCTGGAAAGCAGCTGAAAGCGTTCTTCGTTGAGGACAGCGCTGAAGTGGAAGCTTAATAACCGAAGCATCTGTCCTGCTGAATACAACTCGCCTCCCCAGCCTCTGAATGCCAGACCTTGCTGTGATCACTTGCCAATTTGACATTTTATTTTATTACTTTGTTGAATGTATGTTTAAGTGTAACTTTTATGATTGCACTTTCTATATAGTACATATAGCAAATCTAGAAATGTTCATATAGCTGGCAAATCTGTCTGATTAGCAGATTAAGATAATAGTGTGCCATTAAAAAGTATGCCAGAAGTATCAAAAGTAAAATGATCAGGTCTTAAATTCTTTTTACATATCTTTATGTGTCCTTGCTGATCTTTTGAGAACCTTATTATAGCCTTTTCTTTAAATTGGGAGCCTTAACAACCTAAAAAAGTGCCTGAATGAACTTGACCTTTAATTTGAAAGCTCTCCAGATCATCTTCTATAGAGTGGCTGCACTAAAACAGATGATACATTATAGGATGCAGCTGAATTGGGAATTGTGCAGGTTAATAGGTAATCCAGTCAGTTCATGTACAAGAGTAAAAAAAAATATAGCAGTAAATACACCATAAGTATAAATATTTTCCTTTTTTTTCCTTTCTCAATATCGCTCCGGTGATAAATGTAACTTTGTTTATGGTCTTTAGGCTGAGTCTTTAATTTATCTATTAAAGCTGATCATGTATGACAAAGAACAGTGTGTTTGCCTTTTCTTGAAGGGCCCATATTTTACATTGTTCTTGTGTTTTATTTTTTTCCTTGAGGTCCACTTTTGTCGTTTATACCAAAGACAGACTAAATTCATTTTTCATGACCATTTAGCACTATCTTTAGAATTAAAAAGGATGTTTTTGTTACTTTGCCTTTATAAAACTACAATATAAATACACACACACACACACACACATACATCATCTAAACCGCTTATCCTTCTGGGTCGCAGTGGGGTGCCTATCCCAGCTGTCATTGGGTGGAAGGCAACAATATAAATAATACATTTTAATTCAGTAACACCTTTCATATATATGGTTCACAGAGACAAAAAGACAAAAAAGAGGCAATAAAAAGTATACAAAAAATAAAATACAAGAACATAAAAGCAGCAACAATATGGTGAAAATGGCGTAAAAATAAGAGACAGGAAAGAAAATAATTAACAATAATTAAAGCTAAAAATGTAATAAAATAGCTCATAAAAGAAAATCAGTAACAATAATGATCTAAATGATAAAAGATAAAAATAAGTATAATAATATTAACAAAAGTAAAAACAAGGAATTTCTGAAAAACGAGTGATGTATGTAAATGAGCTCTGTTGTGATTGGCTGTCCTGTGCTGTGCCTCATCCAAAAGGCTGAAACACTCTTTTTAACTTTGTCATAAATGCAGCAGGCTGAGTATACGGAGCCCTGCTTGTGACATCCCATATAAATAAAAATAATGCGTGGCCACACCTTATTAACACGTCGGAATGAGATAACGCGTGGGAATGAGATAACTAAGTCGTGGCCATGACTTAGTAAGGCATGGGAACGAGATCATGCCTTACTAAGTTGTGTAGATATATGCAAATATTGTTTTTGTGACCTCACAAAAGCAGTTAATTCACAATGAGCTGTTTTTGCAGCCTAATTTCCATATATGGGCTGCATGGACTGGGCAGTGAACAGTCAGACTGTTTTTATTTCTCAAAAAAAGTGAGAAAATTTTGGTTTTCATCATATGGGAACTTAAAAGGCCAAAGTGACCTTGGAAAGATGATATTTGCTACAGCCTTGTCTGGAATTTCTAATCTTGTCTGGGTTTCATTACCACTAGATGGCAGTGGTCAGCTATAACCAGCAATGTTGAAAAGCCAAGGCACAGACTGAGGGTGTAATATAATCACCACCAAAAAAAAGGATCAATTTAGACACCCAGTATGAAGAAAAGTAGGAGTCAGTGCAGTTTTCTTTAATAATGATTAATAAATGTATAGCATACAGTAACAGCTGTTTATAGGTGGACTGAGCTGCTTATAGAGTGAAATCACTAAAAATTGCAACAGAAGCACAATCATTCTCACAAAAGGCTAATCAAATAGTCACTCCCCTTTTAATCATCGCCATGAAAGCGAAAACAGAGTGAATAAAGCAGCCAAAATGAGGAGACAAATTCATAGCATGAATTATTTACCTCCCTCACAGCCATTCAAACAAGATTAACAGCCCATGGTCGTGAATAATTCATAGCTTTTGCGGTTAGGAGGCAAATTCAGTTAGACATGCCCCGGAAAACAATATCAGCCGTTTAGCCGTTTGATGCCTATATCTTAAGGGTCCTGGGACAAAAGAGGAAAAGATGAGGCAAGATTGGAGCTCCTCCACTGTCATGGCAACGTATGGCTCCAGGGTGGAAATGATGTCCCTCGGCACAGGCAATATGCTCTTTACCAGACAAAGCAGATGATTGATGCTAGACAACAATGAGGAAAAAGGAAGTTAGGGGAGACCGTTTAAGCCCATGCAATACATTAAAGCTGCTCTGGGGAACTGCTCTGAGGAACTGCTCTGATTTGACACTTACGAAGATATGAAAAGCTGAAGGTGCCGGGAGTTATTGAACCACTGCTCTTGGACAACCAAATTGATCGCAAGCTGAAAGATAACATTTATATATATATATATATATATATATATATATATATATATATATATATATATATATACACACCGATCTGTCATGGCATTAAAACCTTGTTTCTACACTCATTGTCCATTTTATCAGCTCCACTTAGTATATAGGTGCATTTTGTAGTTCTACAATTACAGACTGTAGTCCATCTGTTTCTCTACATACTTTGTTAGCCCCCTTTTACCCTGTTCTTCAGTGGTCAGGACCCCCATGGACCCTCACAGAGCAGGTACTATTTGGGTGGTGGATCATTCTCAGCACTGCAGTAACGCTGATGTTATGGTGGTGTGTTAGTGTGTGTTGTGCTGGTACGAGTGGATCAGACACAGCAGTGCTGCTGGAGTTTTTAAACACTGTGTCCACTCACTGTCCACTCTATTAGACACTCCTACCTTGTTGGTCCACCTTGCAGATGTAAAGTCAGAGACAGTAGCTCATCTGTTTGTGCACTGTTTGTGTTGGTCATCCTCTGGTCCTTCATCAGTGGTCACAGGACGCTGTTGGCTGGATGTTTTTGGTTGGTGGACTATTCACAGTCCAGCAGTGACACCGAGGTGTTTAAAACTCTGATCCACTCAGACCAGCACAACACACACTAACACACCACCACCAAAAAGAAAATGAACAGTGACATGTCATTTGACCAGGGGCGCCCATTCTTATTGAAGTTATAAGGAGTGTTTCAACCCAGACTGCTTTTAGAATAAGGCACAATACAGAGCAGCCATTCGGAGCAGAGCTCATTTACATATAGCAGTATTTAAAGGCACAGCAACAAAAACAGACAGTTTAATTCCAAGCGCTAATGGAAAGTAGTAATGTAAAAGATTAATAATGACTGTTTGTAGATAGAAATATATAGAATCATAAGCAGACCTCAGGGGGAGAAAAGAAAATGTAGTGTAAACACAGAGAAAAGTTTAAGCACCAGAATTATAACATTAATTTTTATTCATGTGTGAGTCACTAAATCTCTTCTCATTAAACTTTTTTAATCAGTGTTGCCATAGAGACAGGCTACACCAGGTCTGGTGCACAACGTCTTCTAGATGGAAACAATAATTAGACACTGAGCACAATGAGTAAACAGTCTCGGAACAAACTGGCTTACTGACTCTACAGTACAATAGAAGTTCACATATTCCACTCCGAACGGAGAAAGCAAATTTGAAAGCATACCAAAGCTTGTTGCCATGGAATCTAGAGTGGGTTTGATGTTCCCCATCAAAATGTTCAGGATTAGACAGATTGGAAGCATGAAAACATGCTTAACAGGTCAACCGAATTGGTTAAACATCAAATTATTTATTTTTACTCAACTGTATTTATTAAAAATTTAAATTAAACCAAATTATGAAACCCAAAACTTAATTTGAACAGGAAGGGAAAGTGACTGACAGCATCTGCTACTTGTGTTAAAAGCTTTGTGAATCGCCTTTTATTCATCACTTTGTTGATAATAGATTAAAAATCACACAATCCTTTTTCATAGTAGCCATAAAAAAGCCAATTTCTGCCTGTTTTTACGGAGATCCCTCAATTAAACTATGTATTTTTTAAATAACATCAATGAAATATGTTTTGATGAAAATGTGTGTGATTTACAAAACCAGGAGCAAGTTTAGCAACCACCTGAGAGGCCACAGCAACGGCCTAGCAACACCTCATCAATGACTTGGGAGACCTTAGCAACGGCCTGGGAACACCTTAGCAACCCCCTAGAAAACCATTGCAACGGCCTAGCAAATCCTTAGCTACCACCTGGGATAACAGAGCAACAGCTTAGCAACACTATAGCAACCGCCTGGGATAATATAGCAAAAGCCCATTTTTGGATATCAAGAAAATTTCCATCTGTTTTATCTTGCCATGTACCGGTGGGTTCTCACCTTTCCCCTTTCGCACTCATTGCTCGCTAGCAGCTCAATACAGTTACATCATTTCACACACAGAGACAACAGTGTCCTAATTAATCTGATAACAGTGTTACGTAGAAAGATACGTTACTCTATTATTTTATAATTTATTTTATTTGAATACTTTAATTAAAAATATCCAAGTCGATTTCCATTCTGATGGAATGACCACTATGGGGCCTGCAGAAAGAGGCTACGGCTGTTGTGAAACAAGCATTTTGCAACCAAATAAGCACAGGAGCTACAACTAATTTATAATAGTAGAACAGTAGAACAGAACCGTTTACATATAACAGTAAAAATTAAAATACAATTGAACTGCAAAACGGGCGGCACGGTGGCGTGGTGGGTTGCGCTGTTGCCTCACAGCAAGGGTTCGATTCCCCGGCTGGGCGACCAGGGCCCTTTCTGTGTGGAGTTTGCATGTTCTCCCTGTGTCTGCATGGGTTTCCTCCGGTCTCCTCCCACAGTCCAAAGACATGCAGTCAGGCTAATTGGACATGCTACATTGGCCCTAGGTGTGAGTGGATGTCTGTGTCTGTCTGTCCGCCCTGTGATGGACTGACGACCTGTCCAGGGTGTATCCTGCCCTCCTCCTGATGACAGCTGGGATATGCTCCAGCACCCCCTGCGACCCAGAAGGATAAGCGGCTTAGAAGATGTGTGTGTGTGAACTGAAAAACCCATGAATCAGTGCCAGCACTGCTTTGTGGAATGTTTGAT